TATTTATCTCATTATATATAAACAGCTTCGCCTGTTATGGGAACGCTGCTCCGTTCGCGATAAAAGAAAATAAACAAATTAACAAATGTCGTTCCACTGTCTATCATTGTAGGTCAGGGGGAACGAAAACATGTTTCGCATCTTCAAATGTATTTCATCCGACTGATCTATATTGCTTTGCGATCTGGGAGCGTATTCCTTGAAACGTTAGCAAGCTTAAAATAATATAAATGACAATAGACGAACAACTGGCTTGCCAAAAACAGTGCCAGTTATTAATCCACCTGCGGTGATCAGGAATGTTGTTGCGTTGATGACGATTCCTGTGTCGATTCGCGGTTAACTGCCGTCTGCATCGGGGAGGGGACCAGTGTGATATGATGTATCCCCTAAGGACCTCCGGATCAGCCAGGGGATCCCGTCCCGTTTCGCCAGGATGGCTGCTGGAAGATACCCCGCGGTGAGACGGAATAGGCCTTCAGCCCTTGACCAGGAACAGCAATGTACCCCCTAGTGTTCTTCTCAAGGGGCTTATTCCCGGGAAGAAATAAGTGGTCTATTGGTGTTAAAAAGTGTGGGAAGAAATTAGTTCAAAAACGAGCAACGCCAGCCCATATTCGCCTGACAGCGCTCATATTTTTACAGAATCGAATGGTGAAGCATCCTACATCAAAGGGTTTGAGCCCGCGCGCCCACAATCTCGGGGGGCAAGGACAGCGACAGCCTGGGTTGCAGTTTACCTAAGCTGAACGGCATTGGGCTTTCCAAGTAACACCAAACGGCGGGTGTCGTGTGCGAGAGAACGACCGTCGGCGAAAAATACTTCAGAATGTCTTAAAAAATTCAATCCGTACCGTTCAAAGGTTAGACTGGGTATATCTTTTTGACAACTTAAAGGTTGTTCTATGGGCAAATTCACAACTAGAGCAGCATGAAAAATAGGTATTTTGTATTTACTCCAGGGCGGATCTAGAGGGAGAGGGCACGGAGCCATGGCCTTTGGGCCCCGAAAGGGGCCCATTGTCTGCGAGGGGGCCCATAGCCGGCCGAACAGATGCAGTTTTTTTAAACACAAAACGCAACAAAATTGGGTGTCTTTGGACTTGTAGGCGACCAAGCACAGTCGAGATCAAAAGTAAAGGGCTCATGAGTAGACAAAAGCAAAATTTCAATTACTGAAGAGCTGTTATTCGGGAATACTAAGCCTCATTGCGCTGTTCAGGGGCCCTATGCCGTCTCCGAGGACCTATATGCCGCTTGCAGAGTCATTCTGATCGTTAAGCAGCCTTTCGCTTTGCCCTTGATTTTTAGCATTTGCTCGGGGACCCTGCACTGTTACTGGGCCTTTCCTGCTAGGGCACTGGGGCGCTCGTGTCAATCACGGGGCCTTCCACAGATTCAGATTCCATTCGTCGGAAAGACACTGCACGCTATAGCTGCGGGCCCATATGTTAGCCTGCCGGGGTATTCTCGGCCGCCCAGGCGCCCTTTATGTCCATCTCGGTTTACCTACCGACACACTCGCGATATGCTCATGGGCCCTCTACGTTATTCTAGGGCGATTCCAATCATCTGTTACTTGGTTACGGCCCTTCACTCTTGTCGGGTGTCATCTATCAATCTCCTTGGGTACATCGGTTTTTCGGGGCACCCCAAATTGCGTCTTCGTTGCTTTCTATTTAAATGGAAGGCCCTACACACTTGTCGGGGTCTCACCTGTTAGTCTGCTCAGGCGCACTGGATTGTTTGGAGGCTCTGCACATTGGGTGTTTTAATCAAGGGCCCTACGCTCCTGTCGGGGGCCATCTGATGGCCTGCTCGGGTACACTCGATTCTTCGCGGCCCTCCACGCCGAGTCTTGGGTACTTTTTGTTTGGATGGGGGGGGGAGGAGGGCTACGCCCTCATCGCTTGGCTTATCTGGTAGCCTGCTCGGGCATATTCGACCGTTCTACATTGGGTCCTTGGGTGCTTCCTATTTGAATGGAGTTTGAAGCCGCAGGGCATTCAGAGTTGCTGCTGTAAAATGTGTCATCATTTGCGTCCATCCGTTGGCCATTGCTTAGCATAAGCCGCGGGCAGACGCTGCGTGACCTAAGGAGACTGCAACACCTGGCATCAAGGTTTTTCAAATATTTGCGAGCGTACATGCTCATAATTACGTTACATAATTTGCGTGACTATTACATTCTGACTGAATGTTGAACATTTCCAGACAAACATGACTTGGTCAGATTGATACAAACTGTTGGCCCGTTTCGATCTAACTTCGTGGGTCCTACTTTCTCTGTACAGCCCAGATTCTGACAAAGGTTCTGAGATCGATCGGCTAGAAGTCCACTGGACCACTCTAAACCAAAGAATGCTTTATTTCATGCGGTCGTTTAATGCAGCATTTCTTCAGGTCATTTACTGTACAATTCAGGCAGAATTGATCTTGAGGAAGCTTCTGGCTTCTTTCCAGTTAAAGGAGATAAAACTTTTAAAAATAGAACAGCATGCCTTCATTAACAAATGGAAAATATTCAGTGATTTTTGGTGTGGTGGGAAGGGACTTTTACCATCAGGGGACCCTTTGTCAACCCTGTGGATGCCAAGGCTCTGGTCGCGCACCTGTACTGAAATATAGGGGCCCATCGGTTTGGGGGCCGTTTATGAAGTCTTTGCCCCCCACCCCAAATTCAGTCACGCCGCCCCCTGGTACCAGAAGCCTACAAGAATGATGTTTTTGTGAGTGTGCTTCGGACTAGGTTTAGACTATTAGATGCACCTGTGGGAAAAAGTACTCCAGGCATAAAATTCGATTTGGGCTGACCTAGAGGTTGTCTGAGGTCAACTTAGGTCAGATTCAGAAACCATCCAAATAAAAAATGGTGTGCTAACCGGGGCTATGTGACCAGTGCAATGCTTTTCTGTGGTCATAAACGGCGCAGTGTACATCTTCAGGTACTCAAGATCACATAGTTATTGTCTTACATTACAAATAACACCATAATGAGGCGGTCGCACGCGTCACACCCGTTTGCCTCTACGCCATTGACAACATAGGCCATTGACCTTGTATGACCTCACATGACCTTGCATGTCGCCACGTGGTGTATTGCGACCTCATTATACACTATAATGATACCTCACCATATTTTAGTGGAGCATTCGCATTCTGCGTCCAATGTTACCCAATAAATCTCCCTATTTTGAGCCCAGCATGTGTTTTCCAGCAAGTATTATAGCGGAAGGTCGTGACCTGGGCGGAGGTCATGCGCTTTGGGGTCATCTGGAGGCTGAACATGTAAATTAAGCCTTGTCCTCATAAAGGAACACAAAACTATACAAAACTAGTACAAATTTACATTATTTACGAAAAATGACAAAAATTGACCTCCAACTAGCCTCGCGTTTTCCGACAAATCTGAAATAAACAACATGCAGGTACCATCATGGTATATTACTACAAAACTTTGAAGAACTGCAAATGATCCGCAAAAAAATATTCTTAGTCAGAGCTTTTAACAGTTTGACCTCGTTGACCTGACTTACGTCCCTGATATCGGTAGACCGAAACTTCAAATTTGCACGAAGGATGCCAAATTCATAGATGTATAGGTATTGAAAATTTCGTGTTGCTGCAAGCGTTTGTTTTTTACCTTTGATCGAAAAACGGTGAGGGGAATTCAGCTTCCTCTCCCCCGGCTGGGTGCGGGTTAAGGACCCCACGAAGCTATAAAAAGTTATGTAGCGTTGTTTTGAACACGTGCGCTCGCAAATCCTGCAACAAAAACCAGGACGCCAGGCATTCAAGTCTCTGAAAGCCACGCAGCGTCGGACCAGTGGCCAATGGGTGGAAGAAAATGATGACGCTTCTGAAAGAAATACCCTTGAAATTTTAGCACCGTAAATCTTATGCTTAGAAGGTAGTTTGGGCGTCTATTTCACCTGTTCAATTTTTTGACTGACGATAAGACCGGACTGGGCCTTACAGGACCGAGAAGTGGTGCTGGAATGTGTTGGGGGAACTGGAAGAGTAAAGGAAGAATTTATATTTTTCGTGTTGCTGTAACGGTTAATCTGTCCAGAGGACAATAAACCTTGTGCCACTTGCAGTTGTGGAGGGGGAGGGGCCTGTGGTGGGGTGCGTGCTTTGCGCTGCTGCCTGGCTGCTGCTGGATGTTTGTGCGTCGCCGGCTGCCGCTGTTACGCCTCCCCACGAGAGCGAATTTATGCTGAGCGGCCCAACGGTCAGCATACGAGCCAGATGATGTTATCGCCCGACTCGGGACGTTGTGACTCCGGGACACTTGACATCAACACACACTCATGTGAGCCAAAGAGCTAGGATGAAACGGGTGACCAGGGCATTGGAGAATGACATATTTACTATTGGGTAGGTATACTATTGGGTAGGTCATACACCATGAGCGAATGTCTTCCGCGCATGGTTGTGCGCCCTTAACCACGATACGCCACCTGCACCTTTATTTGATGATATCTTAAGTAGATGGATTTTAGGTAGATTTGGGCTTAGATGGGCTTTTTGATAAACATAGCCCAACAAAAGTGGCTAAGTTAGCACCAGACGGGCGTCACAAGTTTCATATACATCGGATCACGAGGATTGATGGACTAAAAAGATGAACTCGCCAAAAAATTATCTACTCGCGATGGTGATGATGGCTTGAACTTTTGGGCGTATATTCTGCGTACAAAGCTACCCGTTCGACTTGAAAAATGATGGCAACGTGCCTAATAGCTACGTAGACAACTACTCTATGATTTATAAAACAACAATACATCCTTTTGGCTGTGACTTGAATCACATGCATGCCCAACACGACGATCGTTCCACAAGTTACCAAAGCCAAGATCCCGGGGGACAGGTCGTCCTGTTCGTGGCGTGGGGCGGGCCTCAGCAGAACTAGGGAAATTTCTAAAATCGCAAGATACCACCCGTAGAATTCTCTAAGAAAAGGCATCTAGCGATTTGGAAACAAATATACCCGTTCCAAGCTACGCAAACGAAGAAGAGGAGAGCGCACGAGGTTTTGTGGCTGAAAGGTGGGGCTTCCGTTTAAGATTTTGTACATTTAGCAGATGGACATATAGCTATCCTGGGGTTCCTCAAGAAAAGGAAATGGTGTTCAACGTTTTTAGACGCGCATGTCCAGTTTTGTCGCGCACTGTGAAGCCCCTGAACCAACATACGAACTTGTTGGTGCGTGGTGCATTGAAAACTCAATGAATTATAAATGTTTTTGTCATCCTAGGCTTTAGTGGGCATGAAAATCATTGCGAACCTCCAAAAGTATCACGAATGTCTTGGCATTGGTCGAAATTAAAATAAAAGATGCTTAGTTCAAGTAATATAGATATTAAAGTTGTCACCATAACATGTCTAATCAATTATGACCGCTGGGTGCTGCATAATGCTGAATTGCAACTTGTTCAAAATCTGTGTTACCAGTGTTGCCATTTTGTGTACTTTACAAGGGGGGGGGGGGCAGTACCCCAAATGCATGATGCTGGCATGTTTGTGTGAAGCCTATGGTAATCTGTGGAGAAATGTGAATTTATCAGAGCTGATCAGTCAGTTATGAAGGCATATGATTGCTTATGATTTGAAATTACATGGATACCTTCACATACAGGCATTGCACAGGGAGGGATATATATTTTGCAACCATTTATGTACCACTACTCAATAACTATTTGATTCTTGACATCCTAAGATGCAATTGATCTGATTGATCATTGTCAGAATAAAAACTTTGATAAACATGGATGAAAAAGAGCATGCCCAACACAACTTCTCTGCTAAAACTTAAGCCATTTCAAAATTACTGTTAAAAGGCCTGTTTTAATGTCTTGATGCATCTGATAAGGGAATCTTTTGCTGCATAATCAATGCTATTTTTTATGAGCATATAAAATAAAAAGGGGCAGTTTTTATACTGTTGGGTAGGCTTGGTATCATACAAATTTTGGGTTCTGTTTGTGGTACTGGCTGCATGGTAAAACTACAAAAATACTGACCCTGCCAATCATGCTGACCTGTAAATACCATTATGTTGACTTAGCTGCTTACCTATCTACCAGATGTGCACAGGCTCCTGCTTAAGTTATGTGTGTGTTGATGCCTGGTTTCTGTTTCTGTTTTGAGAATGCATGCACAACATACAGGAGTTGTCTGCATGCATACTGCCTGTAAACAAAGAAGTGTATTTGCATTTGCTTAAATGTCAAACTATCTTGATAGCTTAGTAGAACTGTCAAGATGGCTTAAACCAGGGGTCCAGAAGAAGATAAATAAGCCCTCTTAGTCTAAAACTGTTTTTCCTTGTAAAATTTAAGCTGATAGATTAAGAGCAAAGATCAGCAGATGAGCACTTGGGATGGGGGGTACAATTTTTTGGCATTTTCTCTCATCATCATAGTAGGGAGAAGAAAATGAAGAAAGAGGAATTGAGACACACCTATTCTACACCTGCCCCTGCTGGTGCTGGACTGTTGCATGACTGGCATATAATTTGGTTTCACTGGAGGCATAGTATAGAAATACAAAATGAGGCAGCAAATTTCAATGTTTCATCTGGGTCATACAAACAGGCCGGGCTTGCTCTACTTTTTGGACTTGTGTGTGAACCATCAACATTTTATGATGTTTTCTCACTAAATATTTCATGTTTGCCAGATATTTTGTTTGAGACCCTGCCTTTTAAGATGACCATTAGGTTCTAAGATTTTTGGAAGGGGAGGGAGATGAATGAGCCAGACACAGATTGCATGCAAGATTCACCACATTTAAATATGTTTGAAGCTTTTCTTTGGTGGTACTCATGATGATATATCCCATTTTTAAATATTTTTCACCCACAGCCACATCTAAACAGGTGAAGCAGACATTTCAACACAGCATCTTAGCTGCATACGGACCTGGAGCCCTCACATCTTGACTATTCATTTCAGTCACTGGTAAGTGGCCTGTTTGCCCTTGCTATGAACAACAGATGCTCAACTAACAAAGAAGATAATTTCTAATTTGTGTGCTCTTGTGCAAAGCAAGTAAGGTTTTGACTAGCTTTTTAAGTTATAAGGTGATGTAAGGTTATTTGACTAATGATACTAACATAAATAAGTTAGAATGGGATAGGTACACAGGTTCAGCTCACCATGTGTTTCAAATATGGAACCACTTGCCAGTTTTTTTGGTATGCAGTGTTTAAAAATGTGGCACAGCTCTCTAACTATGGAAGCAAAGTATTGCAATAGCCTGTATCAATGCATAATATGAATGCATAACAGTACAGTCTGCAAATGAGAAGACAACAGACATCTGCAAATGGAAGTGGAACATGCCCACGTTGTAAATGTGTGGCCGAGCGCTATTGCGCTGATGCCTCAATGATGCTGACAGAGCCTACGGGGCCCAAGACAGGAGGTCATGCCGCGCGGGAGAAAGCGGCCTGAGGAACACCAGGACATGCTCGTGCGACCAGTCACAAAACGGCCTCGTTCCAGCCCCTACTTACAGTGGAGGTCAGTCGCCGCTCCTGCCTCAGGCCATCAACAGGGGGCAGTGTCTGCTGCGATTCGCGTGGAGAATGGAGGCAGGGCGGTCCTCACACGGACTGTCAAAATATTGTCACTTATAGATGGCTGTGCTATACTGCAGCATTTATCTGCCAATAGCTGTTAGGGGAGAGCGCTGCTGCATAGTCAGACGCATCCGGCACGTGGATTACGTGGCTATTACGGAGATAACGGTCAGCGCGGAGAAGGGTCGACAAGCGAGGTTCACCTTCTCGGAACTTTTGTGATCCGCGATAATGGTTAGGTACAACTGCCGAGATGTGGAGATGCTCTTCGTGTTTCTTTCGTGATGTACCCAGCCACGTTTTTGCAATGGGCTAATCCCGAAAAAGAAGCTCGCCGGGAAGGCAACCAGGAGGAAGACATTTCCGACTTGCTCTCGCTGCATTAGCCGCGTGGCATTGTAATGCTCAGGTCGCGCTTGCTCCACCGAAGCTCTCTGAACAGGGTGCTGTGCGAAGCCTTGGATATCCTGTCATATAGAGTGAGCATTAATAAGTACGGTTACCTAAGTAAGTGTCAAGTCTGCATTGCCCTGAGTGGACGTGGGCTGTTGAGTGGGCGTTCTCGTGCGGCTGCGCACGTGCGCGAGTGTCGCCGGGCAGCACTGGCCGGCCACCGGCTCGGCCGGGCCCGTCGCGACGGCCGTGGCGGCGTTTGACCTGGCGCGCGGCCTGCGGCCCGGTGTCTTCGTGGGACGATGGGAGCGAGTGCGCGGCCGGTGCCCGGCCCGAGCTGTCCCAGCGGGGCCAAAGCCGAGCCGAGCGGCCCCTGCGGCACGACTGGCGCCGCCGCCGGCCGCCTGCTGCTCCGTGATGGCCTATAGCACGGCCGGGCCGGCGGCGACGATGGCCCCGGCCGTCGGTCGCTAGCCGTTAATGCGGCCGGCACTCGCCACCGGTGTGCGCCGAGGCGCTTACACCCTTGTATCGAGCGCCTGACCCCCGGCCTGGGTTCAGGAGGGGGGGGGGGGGGGAGCATCCTTTGCATTCAAACATCACCCCCGTCGGCTACTTCATGATAGACTAAGAGCAAGTTCCCCTGATGAGGACTGACAAGGATATCCGGAAAAGATATTTGTTTTGATGTCAAGCTCTAGCATACACTGAAGTACACAAATGACGTGAAAGCTGCTGATCAGACTTTGCAGGTGCTAAGTTTTCCTGGCGTCGATAGAAACGTCTGCCAAGCACCCGCAACAGCTATCTGGAGCGACGTGTGTGCCATTGAAGGCGTTTCATTATCTTTCAAATGTCTGCAAAATGTGTGGTGGTCCTAGTGAGGGACCATCGTCCAGTTCTATGGATATTTAAAATCGAATACAAAACACTCATGGGCAAAGATATCCCTACAAATATCATGATAGGACCAGAACAAAGATATGGAGCAAAGTGGTCCTGGAAAATAACCAAATAACTATGTCATCCGTTGGACTATTCAGCAGACCATCAGCACCATACGGTAGAAGGTGGATGGTTCAAGTCAAAATACATTTTCCATTGTGTTACCAAATATCAGAAGCAGAAGCCTATCCTCCGGTTGTGACTCGCACACGCACGCACGCACGCTCGCTTACACAGATTATATATATATATATATATATATATATATATATATATATATATATATATATATATATATCACTGCATTTCACTTTTCTTCCTCCAGACGGACAGGAAACCATGCCACTGGCAAAATAACCTGACATCAGACAGTTGTATTCTTACAGCCATGAGGGTAGCATGACAGGCATTGAGATTGTTGCGGTTGAGCAGCGGGGCGTCAAACTTCCTAAGATATAATTCAGGTCGTAAGCACGCCCACGTTGATGAGTTCAGCACTTCGTGCAACCGCCACACGTCTGTGCTGTATCTATTTTCACCTTGCGTATTTGAAAAGTTTCCGCTCCAATTAGGACGACGGCTGGCTTTGCGAGGCTCTGGTCCTCGGGGAAACTCTGAACGTCTTGCACGACTTAGCTTCCGTCGGCCGATTCCACCTGCCTTGGCCGCTGGGGACTGGGGAGGGGGAGGGGCAGCCCCCACACCTGCAGCTGGCATCGCCAAACAAAAACGCTGAAGCGCAGATGCTGGTTGTAAGGTCTTGTGAGTCTGTGAACAGCATGAAGAGCGCTCGTCCCGTTACCATAGCGAATTCGGCTTTGTCTTTGCTGATTCCTCGCGCTGTCGGCATGCGCTCGTCGATGGCTGCGACTTATTTGCCTTGTCGGGTTGGAGACCGGCCTCGGCTGGTGCAGGGGAGGAGCGTGCCATCGGGTCAGGGCGCTCCTAAGGGATGATCAGCGTAAGCTCTGTTGGGATTTGCTGGCGACCCTGTGAGTGCGAGCTGCGGCATCTTTTCCACGCCACGACCGCGAGGCAAGTTTCTGAGAACATCCTGGTAGGATCGTCATCTCGCTGTTATTTATGGAGAGCACCACATAGGGACTGGGAGGTCTGCAGGCATGCAAGGACATGTCGGGGTCCGTTGGAGGCATTTTTATTGGGAGGCATCAGTAATTGATGAGAAACGCTCAGATGGACTCAACTTTTTGGCTAGGCTCAAGCGGTATCCCGTTAGGTGGGTCCCCCTCCGCTCGTGCCCGATGATAAAACATTACATATTTGTGAACGACGAAATTGCCGTAAATTGCACACAGCTGAGTTATATGGAGGGCATGCGGGCGGAGTAGTTCAGAAGGAATAGGAGGGTATCGAAGGACACCACATTAAATGATCAGCGGCAACTGACGAAATGCCCCAGGCAATTCGCCCTCGTCGACGCCATGTTTCGCAAAGCGCAATGGAAAATATGACCTTGTGTACACGGCTGACGGACAAGTGCGGGCCCTAGTCCGTCATTCTTGATGAAGTGGGAAGCATGCCGAATTTTTCTTACGCCGTGATGTTTTTTTTTGTTTTTTTTGCCAAAAAATGTGGAAAAATAAATGTCCCGCTCGGTGTGCGCGAGAGTCTCACTGAAGCCCCATGCCGCGCGGCAGGGTTTGCACTCTCTGACGGAAAAAGTCGGTCGGACGAACACACAAGCTTGTGGAAACGGGCGAGACAATTGCGCGTTGTTAGTGCTGGGAAGGCGTATTATGCTAAGTTTGTGGAAAGGGGCGATGCCATTGCGCCTTCTTTGGTGCTAGGAAAACATGCTGTGCTAAGTTTGTGGAAACGGACGACACAACTGCGCCCTGTTTGATGCTAGGAAACATGCTATGCTAACATAGCGATGGCTGCGCCATTACCCATCAATTTTTCATTATAATGCAGCGTAAAAAATTCAGTCAATTCATTTCATCAGCTTCGACCGTTTAGACATCCCACAACGTGCGTGGGGGGGGGGGGGGGGGAAGGGAGCTGGGTCCCAGCGCCACCTCCATATCTGACGTACTGGAGCAACTCGAGAACGGTATAGTATCATCGCGCGTGGCGTACAGTCTCCGCCTGCATCATTTTTTGACAGCTGCTTCGGCTGATTTGTCATGTCTGGCCCCACGAAGTCAAATTGCGCATGTGCCTTCTCAGTGGCGCTTCCGGGCGCACAGATGTTGAGCAGTGTGGTGGATGGGAGGAGAGGTGTCATCCGTGCGTGTCCTATTACTGACAGAGGAATCGTGATAAGTGTCGCTCGTTTTCATTAGTATATTCGCGACGCGTATACGTCAGCATTAATATACGCGTCACGTGACGAGAGCACGCGTAAGTCCTTCCCGCCCGACTAACTAGCCACTGAGGAGCGGCGCAGGTTTTGGAAGGATTTGTGTAACGTATGTGAAGAGCGGCGGCGAACGTGACGTTACAGCATCGACTCCAAGGGGTCTCAGATGCTGAAACCCGGTGACTAGGCGCCTCAGAGCGCGCGTCGCTTGACTAGTCAGGAGAAATGTGTCTGGTATGCTATACCGACAAAGGTGACGTTGTGATGGCTTGCAGCACATATTACTCTGCGCGAAGATCACAAAGATAACAGGAGCTGTAGCTCACGAACTATGGAGATAGTGCGTCAGCGGAAACCACGGCTTCCGATCGAGCCGGCGAACCTGCACCGCCGAGGAAGTGGGCGTCTGTGCTTTTCAGATATCCAGGTCATTGTGCACCGCGAACGTACTTCTGGTACCCCGCATGGTACCCCGTCCCTTGACGGGCTGATCAGTGCCGCATCGCTATGTGCGAACGTGCGCTGAAGTGAGTCGTGGTAACGTTTGACCACCACAGCTGGGCTTGCTGCACTGGACAATCTCGATCAGCTACCCGCCGCACCATTCGGGAGGCCGTCACGTATCGTGTTGAGCATGTGTTGGTCAGCTGAAGTCACACGCACCGTCATCAGATGTGTGGTGGCGTTTGAGACGCGGCCTGGGCCAGCACCCGTCGACGTCAGCCGAGGTCGCGCACGTGTCGGAGGACCGCTGCCCGCGTCGCGGTCTGTGATGGCCGTCAGCGTAGTGGACAGCAGCGGCGGTGGAGGTGCCGTAGGCAGTCCACATCGGCGTCCGGCTCGTCTCTGTGGCCAGCGCCCCGCTCTATCTCTCCCCCCCTGCCCGTCTCCGGGAGGACTGTCCAGGGGGCGTCCAGAAGCCGCTCGGTAGCTCGCCGACAGACGAGGAGCGGACGGAAACGCGGGGGGGGGGGGGTTCTGGCAGCGGCGCGCCCTCTCCGCGCACGCCCTACAGGATGGCGAACCCAAATGAGTTCCTGATCTCATTAGCGACCTCCATGCGCCATTTCACCCCCGCCTGGCGCATGTTGTGCTGATCGATTGCTAGATCTTGTCGATCTGGGCCGAGCCTACCTGACGTGACCACGGCGAGATGAACACGGCGTCTCGGCCGCTGCTGTGGTTAGTGCCCGGTCTCGTGGCAGATGGCGTCCGCGCGGGCCGTGGTAGCTTAGTGGTTAGCCGAAGCACTCGGCAAATGTCGGGATTAAGGCCTCGTGGTCGATCTGCATCTCGAGGTCCACGATGGGTGCCGCGCCTGTGGTGGCAGCTTTCCCCCGCTCCTTGTGGACGTGGTGGCTGCGCTGGTTCTTGTCTCGGATTGATGCCAACGCGTCTAGTTGCGCCAGACGTATGCGATGCGGCCCGTTACCACCGGATTGATGCAAGAAGGCCGCGAACTAGGATGCTACATTTATTTATTGACATTGCAATCTTGCAACGAAACCGGGCTCATCGTCACTGACCCCCTTTTCGATCGGCAGGTGCGATGTGACAGTCGCGAAGATCACAGAGTTGTTCAGGGTCTGAGCGTTTGTTCTCGTGACCTTTTGAGCTTCCTTCCTCGTGCTGTATCGTCTTGGTGGTAGCTATGCCCCAAGAATGAACGATTAGTTCGGGTATTTATGATATGTTCGTCGCTGGCTGTATTTGTCAAGCTATTAATTTTGTAAATACTTCCTCATCCACGTTAATTTGAGGCGTGATTATCTATGAAATACTTTAAGCGTTGGTTTCTAATCTTGTATGGCAGTAAATTATTTTTTTCAAAAGGACTCCGGATAGTGCATTAAAGCATGCAAGAATGGTATAAAGCTGAAGTAAAGCCAAGGAAAGTAAAGAAGTAACGCCATCCAACTATTGTTGTCCTTGGACGGTTTTCTGACACACATAAGCACTGATTATTAGCTATCACCTCTCAACGTTTTCCGGCGGTACTAAAGGATCCCCAGTTGCGGCAATGGACACCGATCAACCGTCTATTTCCTCCACTTTGGTGACTGCTGTGTCTACCTGTGCGCCGTCGGAATGCGCGGTTAGGATGGGTGTGGGTTTTCCTTAAGTGTAACCGGCTCAAGTAAATATTTGGCACCGGCTTCCTGGCTGGTAGCTGGCTTAACGTTTCCACCTGCAGATAGTTTCGAAAGCTCGCCGGAGGTTAGAAAAGACGCTTTATATTGGTCCACAACAAGACATTGTCTCATGCAGTACGAGGAATTCGAACTCAGGCCCCAGAAAATGAAGTGCACAGGATCTGTTGTACGATGCAGCGCCAATAGCATTATCGTCGCAGCGTTTTTGTGTCGCAGGCTGTCGGTGAAGGTGTCGATGAAGACTGCGTGTGTGTACTGGTGTGGCCGACAACGTTGATAGCTGTTTTTGCATGGATGGGCGGGGTAGGGTGTTTTTGCGTGGATGGGCGGGGGGGGGGGGCGGGGGGCGATCCGGTTTCGCGAAAAGTACCTGAAAAGTCGCGTGGATATTGCGCATTACGTTATTGTTTTTTTGTCTGTTATGGTGCGTATAGTTTGTAAATTGTATGACTAGTCTACCGCCATTCCAACATTGATGAATCCGAGTGAGCACGGAACTTCGAAGGAAATTCCGTCCATTAAACCCTGGTCGAGCCAGTCGGCCGATAATACGTATTACTTTCGCACGGTCCTACGCACGAGCTCGTGGCGTATACGTCGAAGCGATGACCGCCGTCGTACTCATTGTGACTGGACTGCGTCTCGTGTATGTTGCTTCTGTCGCCTGACTGCCGCTGTCCCACCTGTCGCAGCGGTCGCGGCCGGCCGTCCGGCTTCACGGAGAAGCTGTGCCTCGAGTGGTTCCGGGAGTACACAACCGCTGACGAGCCGGACCTGCTGGGTAAGCCGTGCTCCCGTCCGCCCGCCCCCGCTTCGCCCCCGCTTCCCCCCCCCCCCCCCCCCCCCTCCGGCCGACTGGCCAACGGGCGTGTCGCCACCCCTGCTGGCAATAACTGGAGGCGTGTCTTTGTTCGCTACCGTGCTGTCATAATTATCCATGAGAGATATTGATGGTGGCCCAGGAAAGGCCATATATCAGGCCTGTCTTAATTAAAGGTGACATTAGTCAAAGCAACTGAAAATCAATGGTCTTTGCGCCCTTTCCCGCCTTTACTCTGTTGAGCAGTTGTCTGTTGCTTGCAGTTGAGCAAGCGAGGCTTTCGTGTGGGGACTTTTTAGAGCCATGAAAGGCGCAGAAAGAGATTTGGGGTTAAATCTATCTGCATCACGCCCGTAAGTCACGTGCCAAAACCCCGAGAGCACGCTGTAATCTGAGATCAGAACCCTTAAAATGGAGGAGACCTCCAACGTGTATCATTTAAACCTGCATGTGTAGCCCCCATGCTGCTACGTCTGGTGTAGTGTTTTGAACCTTGCAAGGCCGACCCGTGTCGTGTCCTGCATATTTTGTTCGTTCCTATCTGTTGCTCACGCGCTGCTGGCTCTTCCTTTTTATGTAGAGGTGTCCTAGAACCGTGCGTCCAAAGTGCTGAAGTTTTATTTGATTTAAGGGCTAATTCTCGGAAGTTGGTCGCGGATAGGCGCATCTCAACATGGCAGCCCCTTCAGATTTGACGAGACAGGTGTTTGGCGTAGTCAACGGCCAAAACACGATTCTGCAAGTTTTAGAGCCGTGCTGCGTACCGATGACAAACGAAGAACAGATGGAAATACGCGATAACAGTACAAACTCTGTTTTAACCTGCTCTAGCGAAAGCAGCTTGTGAAGTATAATATTTGTTTGGGAAAAGCGCATCGGAAAGCCTGATGCATTTTTTTCTGAAACGGGATCACTATAACACTCAGTACAGCATAATTAAAAACGCATTTTCATCGACCTTACGTACTTGACATCCATCCCGAGTCACGTAGAAGAGAGTCAACTTATGTTTCAATGTCATGGTGTGCAGCCGTATGTCCTAAGTTCCTAAGTTGCCGTTTACAGCGGTTTGTGGCAAGTTATGTCGCTGGTCATTTGTTTACGTCAGTTGATGTGAATACAAAAAGTAAAACAAACGGGTTTAAATCGTTGGTTGTTTGTTCCACACCATAGGCTTTGCTACAACTATTTTGTTACAATCAATGTTTTGCGCCGCATTCATCCCTCACAAGATTACGTCAGATGTCCGAGCAGTTATATCCATTGCCGTAACTGCAACTTTGACGTGTTTCCTAGGGTTGATGACTATGGCTGTGCGCTCCCTGCGGCATTCGTGCGTTTTGTTAACCTATATCCCAAGCCTATAACCTATATCCTAACATTGCTCCGGTTCTGGATTTCACCAGCTGTCACATAGATGAGAAGTTCGCCTACGAATGAAAATAGAACGGTTAGGTTAAAGTACGTGAATTACAAAACAAATTATAGGATTATTCGTGGACAGATAGTGTGCGCGTATATACCTGACGTATAAGCGACGATTAAAACCTACAAATTTGTACCTCTCCGTATTGTTTCTCGTAAAACATTTCATAAACTGCGTCCGTTATTTATTTGTTCTCTAACCAGCAGCGCAGCTAGTGCAGGTGCGGAACATATTATATGACGCCGGGCTTTGATCCTGTTCTGGGTGTTCTGGGTGTTGATCCTGTTCTGGGTATTGTAGATTTTCATATGTTGCCAGGTGTTTAACGGTACCCCTACTGCGATGCGTGGGCATTCCCCATGAAAGGCCGCGAAGACGTGCGCCACGCATTGTAAGGTCCGAATCCTCACGGTTGCACATGCCGAGTAAGTTACATTTGTTTATGTGTTGGGTCACGCGGCAATAACAATGTTTTGTACTTGGTGGGAACTTTTCATCACCGGTAGCACCTTTCCAAGCAAGTGTTTCCAAAGCTGTTGAATGAATTTAACGTCCACTAACCATACCGATAATTTTGCTGATGAGTTCGTAAGCTGTTTTGAAGCGTGCATCGCATGGATGTATATTGTTAAGTCACTACTCAATCAAATGTATTTTCCCAGCTATATCATTGGACTGCGTCTTGCGTGGTAACAATATAATTTTCGGGAAAGGCCAGTGGCCAATGGACAAACGTCCCGTTACACATCACGAGACAGCACCCATCTTTCTTCGCCCCTTGTTGAGCCGTTACGTTTTCAACAGTCCCCTTTAGCGGTAAATAATTCATTCACGGGCGCGGTGCTGTTGTCAACCTGGCAACAAGCAAACCGAACATATTTTAAGGAATTATGCCGGATTCTTCTGCACAAGTTTTGCACGCAAGTACCACCAGTATCATTATTGTACCCGATTTGCACACGCATACATGTGGTGGGCTCATCTGTTGAGCATTTACATCGACAAAGAAAGCAGACGGTTCCCACAGAAACGGATAATAACTTTCCAGATTTGGATATTGTTATGTGTATTTGCCCTCAGGTGCACCCTGTAATCATTATTGGGAGAATCATGATCAATCGTGAATAGCGAGATCACGATCTGGCGACCAGTCTCGCACTTCCGTGGCTGAGCTTGATCTTGATGTTTATCCGGACCTTGTGATCGGTCCCCAACGTCCACCACACCCTTTAGAGAGGAGCTCTCTAGAAAACGTTCGGTGATTTTGCGCAAAATTCTCCCGGTTGCTTTGTGTTCTGGTCAAACGGCTCTCATATTGTTTTCAGTTTGGCACGGAAATTCTGCATATTTGCTACAACTTAACAAGTTAACCAACCTTATTCGTGATGATGACAAATGGCTTGCACCCCGCTCGTTGCAGTATCGTTACGCCACGCAGACATATTTTTCCGTTCGTCTAATTTCAACGGATACTTTCTATTCGGCATTCCGTGGAGGCACTTCTTGGAAGCGGTAAAGCTGCAGGTGGTCATTTCCCCTGGCAATAAGACTACACTCACTGACTCTTGGGCCCGACCTGGTTTACTCGGGGTCGGCGTCGAATCAGATGCGTGCTGTAACAAATTACATGTGTGCGGCTCCGGGCGTGCGGGACCAGCACTTTGCTTCGGCTCCAGGCTAGGTAAGAAACAAGTAATGCTTTTTTTAGCCAGTTGCTCGTTTCTTCTCATGGTGGGTCAACTTTATGTAATGATTATCGATGTTCTGTGAGGATTCGGAGTACACGACGTTGTCACACGACTGGTGAGAGACAGCAGGTCCGTAAGGCCGATTAACAGGCACTCGTCGTTCAGACATTGTTTTAGAGTTCCTGAAGAATGTCAGTGTGTGGTTTCAATATTGAAATGAGTGGTTTCAAGGTCATGGCCACAGCCACAGTTCCCGACTCAGTGAGCCTATCACACCTGGTCATCCGATACCGACCCGTCGGCTCATGGCGTTCCGCAGTGCGGGATCCGCCAATGGTCAGATTCGATTTGCGGTAGATCTAGGAGAAATCCCATCGACTTCTTGTTTCTGAACGGTAATGAATTGCTGTTCAATGGCATAAGAGTTTGAAAAAAGCCTATGGTGTCATGGTTTTTAGAAAATGACATCCAAGATTGCACCAGGTTTCTTTGTACCTAGTTGACTTTGAACGTTATATTCACCCATGCTTCCGAAAATTAGATACTTGAATCTCGGATACACTTTTCCCAGACATTACACCCCGCAGACTGTTTTCGTTAGAGCAAGTTGAACAATAGGTCCGTGGCGTCATCACGTATTTTCATCCGTTCCTAGTTCCCTATCCGCACGCCGCAAGACTCGAACTCCAGCAGAAGCGTGTTTTGACCCGACCGTATTATGAACTCAAATGTGCATTCGTCATATTTAAACAAGATGCTGTGTCATCCTCCGGTCGATTTGTCGTGGAGTAATGTCCCATAAGCAAAACAGCCTCCAGCTCCCGTTTTTTTTTTGTTTTTTTTGGCTTACGAGTTCAGAAGTCTTATGCTGGGTGATGGATCTTGAGTATGCCAGGAGTCTTAGTGAGGTTATGGAGCCAGTGACGTGTTAGTGACGTTATGTGCCAGGCAGGAGGCTTAGTGCCGTTATGGAGCGAACATTGGCCATATCGCCAGTACTCGATCCAAGCTGTACTTGTGATCTCGAGTTAGCTCGAGTGCTGTTCATATAACCAATTTTTGCCCTACCGTCGTTTACCCAATACCTCCTGGTATATTGGAGGTCGGTAACTCAGCGTAGGATCTCTAAACCCGTTAGGCTAAAGTTTCACTCCTCCCAGCAGTATTCTAGACGTCATTTGGACTGTTCGCTTAGCTGGTAAATGTAGGACGGACACACACGTGTGCTAGTCATTTTGTGCGTTAGATGATAAACGAGAAGCCCTTGAATATTTGGTTGGCAGCTGGGTGTGTATTGCCTCCTTCGGCAGGAACCTTTAGGTTCAGGAATGTCATCAGATGTTTTGAAAACGGGAACGCGACACTAACATTTAGCGTGTTCCAAGGGTCGAAAATCGTTCTGGGCAATGTTACGGCGCAGCCTCAAGCAGGCGGGTGACTTGTATAGATGGCCGTGCATTTCGAGGACCAAATGATAGAAGAGCTTTTGTCAGGAAATAATATGTATACTCGTTTGTGGTAGACAACAGGGTGTTTATTGATTCCGTAGCGTCCAAATATGTACAGGCGTACATTATCACGTGCCCGGTCATCTAGACGCGTGTAGAGTATTGATTAGTGTCACCCTACGCAGTTCCTATTTATTTTTGCAAAGACAATTTCTTAACAAGTTGTCTTTTTTCAGCGCACAATCGCACGTATTTGGCGTTCACTCGCAATGGGTACAGCAACTTGGTTTTTGAACTTCGATAGTTTCTCGCAAGACTCGATGAACGTAGTGTTTGATCGTCATTTTACTGGGCATTTATCATACTCCAATAACTTATACTGCCGTAACAGCCCTTACGGTATGTCGTCAGCAGAACGTTATTACATGTTGTATATTTTTGCGTTTTCTTGGGTTGGTTTGCGTGCATGATGACTATATTCTGTGAGTTACTACCACGAGCATTGCAGTGAGTACTTGCTAAGTCGAGCTTGTGACGTGCGTTGCAGTTCCATCCGCAACGTTTGGGGTAGTTATACCTCCGGCTGCCGTGAAATGTTAATGACTCCTGGGAAGGACGTGATATCACCTCACGCCATCTACTTCCTGTCCTGCCCTTCCCAGTTATCTCAGTTCAAATATTGGTAGATTTGTGATCAGGAGACCCCGGTTCGGGTCTCAGTTCCAATGTGATAATTAAGGTTGATGACGGACGATGATTGGAGTTAAAGGGCGTGCCGACGTTGGATAATTCAGGTTTGACGCATGCATGGCTTAAAGCCAAACACCGTTTAGTCCTTTTCAGGACTCAGTAACACCTGACGACGATCTGAAAACGAAATGGCTGAACCGTTGTATGCATAGAAGCGCACCAGGCATGGATGTTCCTCCGAACAAATAGTCCATCTGTGATACCAATACCTCATCCCAATCATTCCGTAAAACTGCCACCACCGACGTTGTGTCGTTTTATTCTCATTGGACACCTTTGCTTCCGACCTTTTTGACAGCTGTCAGGAGCGCAGCATGTCTGGTGTACCTTATAATGCCATGACACAGCCGCCGGGAGCCTGCTGATCCCCTTCGACGAGCTGAGAGCTGACCTTTCAATGGTGAACGGGCGAATCAATGCGCTCGTTCGCAGGCTCGTGCCCCAGTGCCACTGAATAACGAATCCAGCGTCTCTCCAATAAACCATGGAAGCGGCATCGTGGATGGTTTGTTGCCTATCTGTAGATCATGGTACGAATTGTGGTGTAATCTGTGACGTTACCGATGCCTTCCATTATCAAGGTGCACATGCTGACTGCGTCTATGCTCCCCCAAGCTGCGCCTGCTTGGCCAAGGCAGTTGCATAATTCATAGGACCCTGCGCTTCCAGCGATTTGTCTGTGACTGCTAAGATCCCGTTGGAGAGGGTCAACGTCATGAGAAGTGACGACGTGAGATGGAGTGATGAAGCCCCCAATTTATATGATGCCTCATATGACCACCAATTTCCATCTTGGCGGATGGTCAGATTGACGGTTGAGCTGCTAAGAACTGATATGACTCGTGTTATGTATGCCTGGAGACCATGCACGGCTTATCACTGTTTCGCGGATGGTGCACGCGGCCGAAGCGAACGCGGCGTTCACCTGCGGGCACCGGGCCGTATCAGCTGCGGTCTTGTCCCGACTCCAGCGACCGGCGCCGGCGCCGTCGGCTGCCCGGGACGAGCCGTGCCGTCTGACCCGACTAACGCCGCCGACCCGGCAGGGCCCGAGGGCATGGAGCGCTTCTGCGAGGACATCGGCGTCGAGCCCGAGAACGTCGTCATGCTGGTGATCGCCTGGCGGATGGACGCCAAGAACATGGGCTTCTTCACCGTCCAGGAGTGGCTGCACGGTCTTTCTCAGCTGCAGTGAGTCAGGCGGCGCCCGGGGTCCGAAACCATAGTGTTCTTGATAGCTCAAGTGGCAATTTTGCATGCTTGTGGAAGAGTCATTACGCATGCGCCAAGTCAAGTTCTCGGCACATGCAGTGTCAATGCACGCGAAATGGAGTCGTAAGTCGTTCTATCGTTAACCAACGCGGCTCATGCTACGTATCGCTCAGTGTCACTGTCTGCAGCATCACAGTTAGTATTCTTTTGGGCGTGTGGGGAACGGGTTTTTAGATTGGCCGGAGTAACGGTCCGTGTGTTGGGATCCTTGTGCCCCTGAGCTGCGCTCTATTCGGCTTGACAAACGTTTCCTTATGTGACTATGCTGCTCTTTTCGAGCAGTAAATGCAGACAGCACAATACTTATCACATGCATCATATACCTCAGGAAGGCGTGCATACTAGGTGCGATCACGTGGTTAAGGATGGCAAGGGAGAGAATACACTTCATTCGTCAAATTATGGTGGCACCTTAATGGCAGTTTTCGTTGGACACGAGCAGAGCTGCAAATCGGCACGTAGATAAGGCGATACTTTCACGATTTGGCACGCACCACAACGAAGTGTGCTGCGTCCAACTCATCTCGAAGCTGCCGCCTGTCGCTGGGCACATCGGTCTTCTAAGCATGACTGCGTTGGTTATATGCGCCTCCTCAGTCTGCTCGTCTCTGACGACGTTGAACGGCTGAACCAGATAATCAGCCTAACGGACACAGACGTTGTTGTCCTCCATTCGTCGCCCGCCACGGACGTGCACGCACCAGAGTTGAACGAGAAACGCGGCATCACATCCGTTAGACGCACACCGGACACAAGCACCCCCGTCTGGAGGGAGGCTGAGTGCGAGACATCGTCCCGACTAGGCAGGAGGCTGCGGCGGCTGTCACCCCGGGGCCGGGCCAGCCGGCAGCCGCTGCCGCCTCTGACTTTGACCCCTGCGTCCCGACCGACAGGGCCGACAGCGTGGATAAGCTGCGCTGTCGGATCGACTGTCTGCGCGCCCTGCTGGAGCATCCGGACACATTCAAGTCCATATACCGGTTCGCGTTCGACTTCGCTCGGGTGAGTGCTGCCCCGTTCGGCCAGGCCCAGTTCATGTCTGAGATGACGTGCCCTTACGTGCTTCGGAGCGTGCTGTCCGGGTTCCGGTGGTGTTCTTAGGTGTGCCGAACTCTTGGATGTGGTAATCTGTCCTAACTTGTGCCTGCGCTCTGGCGTGGGCGTGTCGGTATGTCTGAAGAGCCTAGTTTTTTGGCTTGTATAGCATCGCTACGGCCCAAATTGTGTCGCGTAAATCATAGTTCTTCAGGAGAAAATACTTAACATTTTAAAGGGTCCAGGGTACCTTTTTTGTTGGGAGAACTCGTAAATGGCGTCGTCGTAAAGGGCGTCAGGTATATTTTCAGATGCAGCAGAAGTGTGATACCGTGTCTGTAATTGGGTACAAGGTTGTTGGCCTTCCAGGATTTGCGATAATGCTACTGATGTGACAAGGGCAAAAAATCGTGCCTCCTCCGTAATCGAGTTCTCGTTTTTTGTCATCCCTTGTTCCGCCAGGCAAAAAAACTGCTTCTCTCACGTGTAGAGGGGAAAAAGCGCAACTCATCGAGTAATTAATTTTATCACCCGTAGATATATGGTTGCAAGTCAAAAGCAGTTGCATATTGAGCAATGCCGGTGACATTTTCGCGCGGCCTTCTGCTCCAACGAGGCTTTTAAGGTGTCGAAGGCAATCCAACGGTTCTGGTCAAATGCTTAAACTGTAAGGAGTCTTCCATCAGCCCGTCGTTCATCTGTGGTCTTTATTTTGGACCGTGAGGGGCGCTGCCTGTTCTTGCAGCTTGGCTCAACTTGGTACGACTCACGGCATATTCAAAGTTTAAAAAACGGGCTTCCTTCCACCACGCGGTGACGCATATCAGTGGACGCTTCAGACTCGACGTAGTCCTCAGAATCGTATGAGGTGCTTCCTGTCTTGGTCATGCTGATCGCGTGCTACACTCAGTCGGCGCTTTTGCCTGTGTGGCCGGCCTCCAAGTAGCTGTCAATTAGATTTGACAACGCTGCATCTTCACTGCGCGCGGCTAAGACCAGGGGGGTCAGAGGGACCTGACAGCTATGTTAGCCGCCGTTTGTCACTAAAGATGGCCGCTTGCGGTCTCTGATCGCCATCACTGAGTGCCAGCGCGCACCGACCACTTGGCCAGCTCCCGCATCGGTTGCCTTGTGGCGCAGGGCACAAGGACTGTACCTCGTTTGCAGCTCTCTCTGCACCGGTGCGTGCGGTGTACCACCAGTCGTGGTACGCCGAGGGTATTGTTACAGTAGATATGGCTCGCCGCAGAATGATGCTTTCTGATGGGAAGTACGGGGGCCATTGCCTGCGTCATGTGTGCAAAGGCACGCAGATCGATTGCTGCCCATCTTCTGTCGACATCCGTCAGGTGTTCCGCGCGCGCGGCGAGCCAGGCGGACGTGGTCTTCTTGCTATGTTTAAGCCTCGCTTGGCTAATGCCACTCTACGTGACGTCCTTTTCCGCCTTCACTCGGTCCTTTACATAATGGCCCATACCCCTCACTTTCTGAGTTGGGCGTAATGTAGTCACGTGCACACTATTCACGCCAGTGTTCCGACAATGGACGCATGACCTGCTTCTCCGTATAGGACGTCTTGTCTCGGCGCTTCGCTTTCGCTTGTGGATTCGGCTAGATGGCGCAGCGGAGTTAACGCCATATTCCCAGGAGTGTGAACTGTTGCTCCCGGCCCATGGCCGTTGTCGCGTGTCGGCCGTTCGTGGTCATGGGAAGACGCTACTTCCTCACACCGCTGACGCGGCCTCCGCGCTGCTTCAGAAATAATAAGAAAAACTGCCTCAGAGCATGGATCGCTGCCACCCAGCGATGTCGACTTTCAGTCAACCGCATCCTGCTGGCCAGGAGGCCGGGTCATACTAATCAGCTTAGATGGCGATTTGCAGCTGTCGTCCACGTTAGTCGGCACGTGGTCTGAGCAGACAGTGAGGCTAACGATGGATGAGTTGTCCTTGTTGATGACATTGCCGTTTTCGCCGCCAGCGTTTCAGCGTTTTCGTGGACGCCGACGGTTGATAATGGCATGACCCGTAACCAAGACGTTGGTGACGTCGGCCACGTCCTGAACGTTGGTGGCAGAGTTTACAATTATTGAACGTTCTCGAACGTGAACTTCCTTGACTCTTTCACACGTGCTTGGTGGAGTCGGGCTGGGTATCTCGGTCTAAAAAATGGCGACGTCCGCATCGTAGTTGTTGCCAGGAGCAAGGTCGTGGATGCCCGTTGGGTGGGCACCGTTTAGTGATCAGTCCTGCTGATGGGCGGGGCTGAAGCCCTCTTCATCTGAAGCTTGGGTCCGAGCAGCCATGAATAGGGGATTTACCCTTTCGGCGCTGATAGTGCATATTTCATAATTATTCAAAGCAGTGGTTTCGAGGGGCTGCTAATGACCATGGCGACCAAGGCCGTAGCATTACCGCCTGACGAACGAGATCTTGTGAGAGTTGCAGCGTTTTGTTGCAGAAGACACCTCCTTGCGAAAGAGTTGAGGTCGGAAAATCATAAGCAAAGCTAATTGACCTAACGAAACTAAACTGAACTTTTAAGCTCTTCCATTGGAAAGAAAGCGCATCTCAAGAATTGCACATTTTTGGCGGTCCGACGTAGAAGACTGCCAATTATTGGCGCCTCTGGGCTTCCCCTGTTTTCTGACTACTGAAAGCAGACATGCATAAGTAAAATCATGTTTTTTTCTGGGGGAAACAAGACCACATGACTGCTCATGGGATTTTCCCCGTATCAAACGAGCTGTGGCTTTTGCACCCTGCGTTCGAAGGCGGAAAGCACGATGCACCTTGTTACCAAACACCATTTTCAAATAAGTTATGCAGGACCTGTTGCGTGCAGTGTCCATTGCCATTAAAAGCGCGCTTTTTAAGACGAATCGAATGTATGAAAAAACAAGTTGTGAAAAATACAGCCATGCTCTCTCGCGTTTACACGGTGTATTAGGTCTTTGAACGTCTGTCAAAAAATCAGGCCGTCGATCTTCGACTCGAACACAACCGGCGCATGTTCCCCGAGATAGCCCAACCCGCACAGCCCGAGCAGTCGAGTTCCTCAGCGTTGTCGGAGCTGCGACTAGACCGCGACCTGTTTCCGCCCGCTCCTCCCCCTCGCCCTGCCCCGCATCCGGCGCAGGAGGCCGGCTTGTGACGCGGCCGCCACCGCTGCCGCCGCGGCCAGCCAGAGCCAGCCGGAAACCCAATCAGGCGGCTGTGCGGGCGCCACGAATTGCCAGACGACAGCGAGCCCTGGCTGGCCGCCGGCCGGTCGCATAGGAGCGGCCGGCGGCGCGGCGCTGCCCCCGCACCGCGCTGCCGGCCGGCCCACGCCGATAAACCGATTGCCGTGCGTCTGCCGAGCGGACGTGCGCCGAACGCTGGTGACGGCGCCGCGCCGCCTGCTGTCGCTGCCGGCTGCGCGTGCTGACGGTGTGAGACTCGCAATCTCTGGCAGCTCGGCTGATATCTGCGCGGTGCCGTTTTGCTGTGGAGGTCGTGTCTCGCATGTAGATAAAGTTCGAAACTGGGGTAGCCAGGTCCCAGCGTATCATAAGTAAATGCAGACTTCTTTGTCTATTGCAATTTTTCGTTTACTTTTGGCGGGGAACTTTGCCCCCCCCCCCCCCCGTCCAGCGTTTGCAATGCATACACGGCGTTGAAGTACATAGAGAACGGAAAAAATGGCATGGCACACGCAGTAGAGAAAAGCTCTGCTTGATACGAGACCTCCGATATTTGTGGGAAGGAGGTCTCAAGATTTGTGGTTTTACTGGAATGTCTGATCAGCTGCGCAACGTATAATGCTGAGATGGATGTAGCGTACCTCGGTTTCAACACGGTTGCGCATTCTCTGAAATTTTGGTTTCCATGCATTTTGTTGGTCTACAGGCATGATGTCTTCGTCATAGTTATGTCAGTGCTGTGTCTCGTTCAGGAGCCCAGTGACTTATGTTTGTCCTAGAATATGCTTTCCTGTATGGACATATTGGTAGATGCACATTCCCGTATTGGTTTGGTTGGTATTCTTGCACTGCCTAGTAGTACCTGACGGCTCTATTTCACAGAACACAATTGAGAGCTCATGTCATCCGAGGCAACTAGGTTATTGCGTGCACCGAAGATATGAGTGGGAAATTAGATAAGGTCCATGCGGCCTGCGTTGACAAGTGAGAGCTCGCATTTTCAGCAGTTTGGTGCGGTTTGACAGATGCTGGATCTCATTTGAAATTGACGTCTTTATGAAACGAAAATTTCGCTACTTTTGACGTGACATTATAACAACACATACATAAAAAGTTTGCTAATGCGTGGCGTGGTTGGCGCGGCGAGTGACGGTCAGCATATTTCAGCTTCGTCTTGTTGCGGGACTACGTGGGAGGGTCTCGTCGGGTTATTGGCGGATATATGGACCGCGTTGCCAGCAGCTGGCACCCATTGCCAATCAGCGACAATTGGTCCGGAGCGCTGAGAGTTTGCGCAGCCTTCTTCACGTGGAGTGGTTATGAACTCGCAGGCGGCGGCCAACGCAGCTGGCGCCACCTATGGTTGATGGAACCAACTTGCCTTGCTGATGACGCTGTGTTTCCGATGTCTCAGCTTCGCACGCCCCTCCGATAGCACTGGGTTCTTTCCAACCAGTCACCAGGGAAGGACAAGCACTTGTCAGTGGGTGAATGGCCACTAAGAGCACGTTATCAGAGGAGTGTCATCGTGATCGCGTATCACAAGAGGGTCATAAGAGTCACGTGCTGCCCATCGCCCCCCCCCCCCCTTCCCACCCCGCAATGCGTGCTCTCGATGACCCTTCTCCCAGTGTCAGAAGCTTTCGGTATCCTTTCCCATATGCCATGTGTTCCTAATGATCCTCCTCGTGTAACCTGTGTTCCTGATAATCTTTCTCTGGTGACACGTGCCCCCAATGACCCTTCTCCACTTGTGATGACCTTTATGACCCTTTATGACCCGTTCCCCTGTAACGCGTGCTCCCAACGACCACTTCGTTGACGACGCCTGCTCCTGATGACCGCTTGTGACACACCTCCTGATAACCCGCCGCCGCGACGCGTGGTCCTGATATAACCTCTACTGTTGACACGTGGTCCTGATATACTTCCTGGGATCCATACTCCTTCCAAAGCAGGCTCTAGTGACGAGTGATCCTGGTGACTTTTCACTCATGTCTCTTTTCCCTACAAACGCTGTTGTGGTACGTGGTCCCTAGGATTGCATCCCGTGATCCTATGGTGATACATTCTAATGACTCTTCGCCTGGTGACTCGTGCTGCCGATGACCAGCCCCGTGTGATGCGTGCTTCTGATGCTGTCTCTGGCCGCGTGTGCCCTGATGCTGCCCAATATGACGTCATCTCTCAGTGCTCCCGTCTCGCTCAATAACGATATCTCCTTACAACGCGGCGGTGACACAGCAACCTGTTTCCTTCAACAGGACAAGGACCAGCGCAGTCTGGATATAGAGATCGGCCGGGCCCTGCTGCAGCTGCTGCTGGGCAAGAACTGGCCCATTTACGGCTCCTTCCACAAGTACCTGGAGCGGTGCAAGTACCGCGTTGTCAACAAGGACCAGTGGAACAACATTCTCGAGTTCTCGCGCACCATCGCTCCCGACATGGCCAACTATGACGAGAACGGCGCTTGTGAGTGCGCACCGTCGCCCCTGGGGCGCGCCGGTCCGCGCCGGCCCACTGCCGCGGGGCTGATGCGGTCAGCTCCCGGTGCCGGGAAGGCGCCCACGGTGGCTGCGAAGGGCCGAGTGCAGAGCAGAATTTCAGGGTTGGTTTATGTGCAGTCGCTGTTGAATTTGTGATTGAAAACGGACGAAAGCGTGCCGCTGCGCTTTCGTGTGACGTTCGTGGGTTTCACGGCGATGGACAGTAATGTGCTGACATTTAAACACCTTATGTTGTGAATTGGGTGCTGAAAACGTACGTTTGGCACGAAATTGAGCCAGGCCGGAGTCCGGCCGGCCGACTTCGCCATGATTTGTCTGGTGGCGGTTGGCTGGACCGTGTCGGCACTGTGCATTAGGCCGGGGTCGGCGTCCGCCCGTCGCCGCCAGCTGCCGCCGGCTGCCGATCTTTACGGCTGCCGTTCGTTGAGTGTGAGTGGCCGTTTCCTGCGGCCGGGGCCCACGCTCCGCCCGACGGCCTCAGCGACGGCTCGTGCTCGGTTTGCACAGTCCGATCGGGCCGTGTTCGTGACCGCTGCTGAGGGGCTGAGCCCTTCCGTCTGAGCACGCCGTGCGGGTTTGGCGTGAGTCACGGCTCGCGCCCGCCGGAGGGCCGGCCGTGCCTGTCGTGTCGCCGCCAGCTGACGCCCGCCCCGTCGCCTGCCGCAGGGCCCGTCATGCTGGACGAGTTCGTCGAGTGGTTCCGGCAGGAGCACGGCCTGACGGCCCAGCCGACCGACGCCACCATGGAAGCGGTGTGATGGGCGGCCAGGCCGACCCAGGCCGGAGCGAACGGGCCCCGGCCGCCCGGCAGGGCGCGCTCGTGCCGCGCGCCGGCCGGCCGTGCCCCGCTCATTTTGGCCAATGCGACGCTTTAGCGCTATTGTCTCGGCAGGTCGGAGTCCAGTATTTTCGGAGAGAGACGCGGCCGTAGCGGCAGCCCAGAGGACGTGCTGGCCGCCGCTGGCCGTGCTCGGTTAGTCGCCATTGCGTGTTTCCCCGCACCCGGCTGTGAACGGTGGAACGGCTGGTGTTTGTGACCTTCGTAGGTCGCCCGTGTCGATAAGCGCTGTCCAGGTCTTGGCTCAAATCGCCCCCGTGCAGTCTCGTGAGGTTTTTCTGCTCGATAGCAAGTGAATTTGCGTTGTTCGAGTGAAGTAAAATGTGAATGCTCCCTTTAATGGATGGACCAAGGTGTGCGTGGGGGCGAGCCCTCGGGGGGGGGGGGGGGCAACGTTTACACCTCATGCTGGGTCTGTTTGTTTCTAGGCTCGTTTCCTGCGCCCGTCTCATGCCAGGAGCTTCCCTTGTAGAATGGGGCGCACGGAGCGTACGTTCTTGCTCAATTCCGTTCGGCTAAGTCTTTGATTCGTGACTCTCCACCTCGTGTGATGATTTCATGTCGAAGCCTGATGTTATGTGCATGTGATTACAGGGGGGCTGTATCAGCCTCCGTCTCTTGTGTCACATCGCCGCGATGTTTACGTTTGCGACCACCGGCGTGGTGCTGCCGTCGACTGTGGGGGGTTGGGGAGGGGGGGGGGGGCAGGGGAAGGGGGAAGCAGGGAAGAGACCGCGTGCTCGAGCTGTCTCGGCGCCGTGCTGCTGCCGTCGACGGTGGGGGGGGGGGGAGGGGGGGAGGGCGAGTGAGGAGAGACCGCCTGTTTCGGCTGTCTCGGCGCCGTGAATGCTGCCGACAGCCCGCAGGGATGGGGTGTGACAGTGTCGTCGCCGGACTGGGCACTTGCGGTGGAGAAGGCATCCCGGCTGGCAAAGCCCAAGGGGTGCATCACTGGGGGCGGCTCGCGGGCGTGTACAGGCGCGGCGCGTGCCGGTGAGCGACCGTGTTGGGGCGAGGCGCGTGCGTGTGTCGCGCGTCGTTGGGCGACCGTGTTGGGGCGAGGCGCGTGCGTGGCTCGCGCGTCGGTGGGCGACCGTGTTGGGGTGAGGCGCGTGCGTGGGTCGCGCGCCGGTGAGCGGTCGTGTTTGGCAGGGCGGCATCCTCCGGCGGGCAGCGCGCCCCGAGGGCATTAGCGCGCCGCAGCCCCAGCCAGCGCCGGCTCGGCCCTGCCCGGCTCGTCCGCGGCCGTCGCTCCCGGTGCTGCCGGACAGCGCCCGGCACGCCGCCGACAGCGCTGTCCGGGCCGGTTTGCGTGATGTCGAGGCTTACGGCCGGGCGGGCACTGTCCGGTGACTGCTGTCTGGTCATGGTGTGATTGCGGTCGGTGAGCTGGGGTGCGATGTCCCGCCGTGATGGCGTTCCGCGTGCCTGCGGCGGCCCCTCTTACTGGACTGGCTCGACTGGGCTCCGCTAGTCGTTCGCCTTTCCAGCTAGCCAAATACACGCTGTTTCACTGGTTTGTGACTGTGCGAACTGACTAAGAAGCCGTTCATGTGATGTACACACTTTTACCGTCATCATCGCTTGCGGAACATTCCAGGTAGATTCAGGGTTCAGTATCAAGTATGGGAGAAGAGGCGATGCTCCGAATGCCACGTAAGATATATCAAACCAGGCCTAAAAGCAGACTGTTTCCGCCAGTTTGGAGCGGTTAGACTCGACCTTGCATCTCGTGTCCCTTTGGATCCCCTTGCATGCATGGCGGTGCAGCACAAATTACCTGAGAGGAGAGGGAGTCTGGGAGCGGGCAGCCTAACGTTCCGGAAGCCAACTGGTGCAAGCAAGGCCAAGTCAGGAGCCAGGTATTGGGGGGGGGGGGGGGGTGGAGCTTAACCAAAAGGGTCTTTCCATGCGTTACGTTACGCATGGAGGGGGCAGGGGAGATTTTGGTGACGCGTAAACGCAGCGTTGCTAGGGAGGGGGAGACTGGGCGGCCTAACCCGCGCGCCTCACCTGCAGGGGAGGTAGAAAATCACACTAAAATCTGAAAAGGGATGTCCTCGCAGCGTAACCGGGCAATGATAGATGTTAGCCCTACGAAACCGGCGTTTAACCAGGGGAGGAGTTGAAAAACGGGAAAATTCGTTCCGTGATAGACCGGCCTAAGGACTAGAGCAGGGGTCCATGAGTTGAACAAAATGAGCTGGGTAAGTGCCGAGCAGTAAAAAACAATTCAACCTAGCCCGAAACGTGCAAACCAACAGGTTTGCTCCCGGATTTAGCCCACTTTCTTCCAAAAAAGGCTCCTCTGAAGCCCCCCACCCTCCAATCAATATGAAACTACGCCCCTGACCTGAGGGTTTAGTGTGAAGTGTGAAGTCTGGGAGCCGTAACGCAGTAGTGTCGGCTGCTTGACCAAGCGGATGTCTTATGGGTGGATTTTGGCAACTCTTAAAACGATAAGATCTCCGTCACGGTTTAAAATAGTACCGATGTTTTCGACGCCACATAATTAAAGACGTAACGGCGTTAGGAAACCGATTCATGACGTCATGGGGTAGAAACCAATGCCGTACGAGTACGCACACAGTGGACAACCTCGTCGTTGTGGCGCAGTCGTACGTCGCATTCGCCCGCAGTTTCGTGCAGCCGAGTCAAGGCTGGCCGAGTTGATTGTGTATTGTGGCAGTGTGGGAATCGGACCATTCACTGCAGATAGTTATGGGATGCAATTCTGCCTGCGGATGGTAAACGGCGATTTCAACATCGCCATCTTCTAAATACTCAATTTTTCATCGGGTGGTTGTAAGGTAGGTGGGAGAGTGCTGGATTACTGAACATCGTCCGTCGACGGGGTTCCAGTCACTGAACTCCGTCCATCTTTGATCGGAAATTACAACGCGTGAAGTATTCTTCATTTTCTGCCTCTGGGCCATGTTACATATTGCTCACGTACCCAGCCTCAAGTCACTGTAAGAGCACTTGCACCAACTTTACATCCCGAAGTGTGCAGTGTGCTTACTGCAATATCTGGTGCCAGCAATGAATGCTAGGGTAAACCATGTTGTGTTGATTGAAGATTGATTGGGTGAAAGGTGGGCTATTTAATAAAGCTGATGGCTGACTGAGTGTTAAAAATTGTGTTGGCAAGAATATTGCTCATAGCCATTTGCTTTCATTGCTGTTATGTTGCTGTTTGCTTACATAACAGGCTCACTGAATTTTTTATTGGTTTTGTTCTTTATTTCTGGAATATTATCAGGGTGTATTGGTTTTATTACATTAGTTCTTATGGTTGCAATAACTGATTAAAAGGCTAACCAGAACCAGTGATACCAAAACCTGCAGTATGGGAAGAACACATACCAAATTTCCAACTCTGTATATATTTTTATGACAAGATATCAATATATTTGGTCAGGTGAACTCTCATTTTATAGCACCTTATACATGTTGTGATACTCAGGTTTACTGTAAGCATAGGTGGTCAGGGTAAAAGGTCTTGATAATCCTTATGACTAAGACAGGTGACCCAGCCTGTTAGGTCTTGCTTGGGCTAGCTGAGCCTATCCAGTTTCATCTGATCTCAGTTTATGCTTTTTTACTATCAAGCCTGATCATCTTTTATACTGTAGTGGTTTAGAGATAGATATTGAATGTTTCAATGGTACAATGGATGAGGTCTGTGTGTGGGGCACTGCAGGTGCAAGGTTTGATATAGCAGTACCTGCTGCACCTGCCCTTCCTGGCATTATGAGAGGCAAGGCAAGTGTGTGGGAGTGGTGGAGGGTACAATAGGGAGTAGGCCCCCAACTTTAAAAAAGTTATACAAATGCTGGATTGTCATTCATTGTACAATGCATTTTTTCATATCCATAGCATAGGTTTTTATGCAGATTTCTGTCTAGAAAAAGACAAGCCTATTCTGGTAATGCTGGTATCAGAAGATCTTGCTTATGCAAGCACTGGGAGTGGGTGTAGTGGTTAGTATGTCTATGTGAACCTGCTGCATGTGTGGGAGACCAGAGGTACATGATTTGATTCCCTGTGGTGCCTATCCTTCCCATCAGGGTGAGGGGCAAGTGACACCATGTAGCCTCTGTAGCTGGGTGCATTGTAAAGCCACAATGACAACAACAAGCAATGGCAGTACTTATGTGGGTCATGTCCTTGCCCCTGCCACATTACTACATTTCTGTCTTATGTGCACTAAGCACCATCAGCATCTGGGTACAAATGGCCACAGTCATTAGTGCACCCTTAAGCCCCCATCATCACCATCTTATCTCCTGCAGGGAAATCAGACTCTGCATAGTCAAATCATAGCCAGTTTCACTGCTTGATTGCTGCCATCTATATATATATATATATATATATATATATATATATATATATATATATATATATATATATATATATATGATACAATATGATATAAAGGGGATTGAAAGTAACTTAACTCCTCATGATTCCTACCTCATGAATGCAAACCATGCACTTTATGTTAGGGCTGTGTCATCATCCTTAGTTTTCTATCCATTTACTTTGGTCCTGCTCTGAATTGGACTAAATGCTCCAAAGGAGCTGCAGCACCGAAATATATTTTGCAACATGATTCCAATTTCTTGCCTCCATGCTTTAACAAGGAGTATTGTGCAAGTTGCATGTCATCTTTATTGGTTATGGAGTGCCAAGTATGTCCATTCATATTGATTGCATAGGGCCATTGTTTCACCTTGTTCATGGAATGGACATGGTCCTCCATCCCACACACCTTTGGCAGCCTGTGTTGTTACCCACCAAACTATTTTGCACCTATGCAGTTCTAGGACAGTGGGATGTGGTATTTCTGCTTCTGACCACATGTGTCATTAGGATTTGAAACCTTTGACCTAGGCTGTCTGCCAGGGCATCTGGGGTAATCAGCACCCAGGTGCACATGTGGGGTGGGGCAAACCAGTGTTGTGCGGTCCAGACCTTTCAAACACTACAATTGGCCTTTGTTGCTGCTACCAGGGGAGCTGTGGGAGGTCTAGGCCATGGCTGTCCTGCCCGTGCTCACGGAAACCTGCTATGGAGCCTGACAGTGTGCTTGATCTTTTCAGAGTGGTCCTGGTTGCCAATGCATCTGAAGGATGGAAGTTGGAAAACCTGCAGACTTAGGAGCCATCCAGTGACAAATGAATCCATAGGCTCTAGAGTAAATTAATGATAAACAGCTGCCCATCCAGCTTTCATTGGTATTTTTATCTCTTATGAAGAATGATGAGGCCCTAGACAATGAACTCTTGGCTGTGGGTGTGGTTGGGTTTGGCCTTGGCAGTGGCTGCCACAAACCACACTCCAGGCGGACCAGATGAGGCTCCAGATGTGGCAACAAGCTCTCCTAAAGAGGGGTTTGAGGAGGCGGCAAGCGACCCGGAGGGTGACTGCCCTCCTGCTGATGATCAGGAAGTGAAGATGGAGTTTGCCACCACTGTTGTGGAACATGGTATGTTTGGAAAATGGGACGCTGGCGTTGTGCCGGCGTTTTGTATGCGGGTGAGGACGAGGTTTACAGCGAAGCACTGAATTTGAGGGAAACAATGTTTCAAAGCAGGAAAAAAATTTTGACAGCATATTTTGTAAAACTATTACTTGCCATATGGCATGCATGCAAAACACAGCTGTAATTTATATTCAGGTGAGGACGCTCTGGAGAGCCGTTTTTTACGGAAGACGACAGATATGATGAATAGAGAATCGCCCCCCCCCCCCCCCCAGACACACACACATAATATTTTCCCTGTTCACCCAGCTAACATCAGGTCATTCTGGATCCGCTGCAGACCCATTTTTAGTTCATGAAAGTGCGGTATCAAAACTGGCCCGAACAATGCAGTAAATAGATATGTTAAGGAGGATCGACATGATTTCCTCTAACACTCTCATTGAAATAGGTATTTTCGGATATACCGACCAATGATGTACACACATTGCTAGGGATTGAGTTTATTTACTGATTGAGGATTGAATTTCGAATGGGTACCTCTTATTGCCGTGAATATCCCACCCCACAAGAAGACTGACCCGACAAACAATGTGAGTGGGAGCAAGTTTCAAATATCTCGCGAACGACAGAAAATCTATTCAAAGCAGAGGAGCTTCCGCCTTTGCGCGTTTGGATACATTACGTGGCAGCCATTTCAGCAGAATATTTTCAAGCAGAGTACCTGTCGGCCTCGTCTGGGCGAGGAGTCTGAGGATCGAATCAGCTGGTGTGACGTGCCTGACGAATTTTAGCGATGCTGAAGCGTTTCGTTCATCGAACCCGTGCGCCTTTTTGATGGCGGTCGTGACGTCTTTTTGCTCTGTTTACGCACGTAGGCCATTATGTATGCCGCTCTACGCCACATCCGTCGGTCTTGACTTTGACGACGCATATATTCACCACGCATGTCAACTGATTCTGGCATTTCTTCCAGAGTACATCGTGGGCTTCAAAAACTACTACTCTAAAGAGGCCCGTCGCGGCTTCATCGCCGCAGCGCTCAACCATTCGGGCGTGGTCAAGTGGACCATCGTCCCCCGCAACAATCCCGCCAAGCACCTACCCAGCGACTTCGACGTGCTGGAGGTGCGGACGGTCGCCTGCTAGGCGCCAGACGTCGACGCCGCCTGCGGCGACGGGTGCCCGTCCTTGTCGCTCGTGGGTTGGCTTGCACTAGTTCATAAGCTGCTTCTCATGCGTTCGTTCTGTCACTGTTGCTCTTCGCTTGACTCTGTTTCCTTTGCGGCAGAGGCGCGGTCCGCCTTGTTTACGTGGGTATTGATTTAGCTGTGTTTGCCTGGCCCATCCGCTGCGTAGCGTCCCCAGTCGGCGCTCGTCTCTCTGGCCGGAGACGGACGCAAACACCATAGACCCGTGCCCGACCTCCTCCGCCGCCGCCCGGCAGATCCGCGAGACGGAGCCGCGCCGCGGCCTGGCGGCTCTGGCGCGACACCCGCAGGTGCGCCGCGTCACGCCGCAGCGGCTGGTGGTGCGCACGCTCACATACGTCAACGCCAGCGACGCCGAGCCGGCCGGCGGCGGCGATGACGACGACGGCGCGCCGGAGACGGATGCCGACGACGAGGCGGGCGGCGCCACCGGCGGCGTCAAGTTCCAGTCGCCGCGGCGCTCGTTCACGCTGGTGAGCCGGCTGGGGAGTGGGGTTCACATGCGATGGTTACACCCGTGCCCCATAGTTAACTGGCGGAGCGACTGGCGGTGACGAAGACAGCTCAGAGAAGCGCCCTTACCATTTGTTGATTGGCCTGTGCACATAACCACTTGCTTGTCTGGGCCATTTTCGTATTATGGCCATGGCGTTGTACAGCCCGGGTGGTTGATGTCTTGGGACAGTTGGATGACACTCTTCTGATCCAGTGCGTCTGAACGGAGTGGGTATCCAGCTGTCAGAGTCCTTTCCCATCCCAGTATCCGATGATGTGCCCCTCACCAAGCTGTGATTGCGCCGCAGGGCAACAAGGCGTTCTGGCACTCGACGGGTCGCCACAACGGGCGCCGGCTGTTGAAGGCGGTGCCGCGTCAGGTGACCTCCATACTGCAGGCGGACACGCTCTGGAAGCAGTTCGGCGTTACCGGTCAGTGGCGACAGACGCTGCCGGCGGAGGTGGCCGCAGCCCCGGGTCCCGGGCGTCGGCGCACGACAGACGGGGGAGGGGAGGGGTAACCTGACATATGGCGGTGACTGTGCGATAAAGCTATAGCTTGACGGCGTTGTCAGGCTGCTGTGCCGCCGGCGGCCTCGCGCGTATGTGGCACTGTTTGCGATCTGTGTGTCTCATTCTCGCATTTTACTGAAAGAACAATGAAAAGGGAACAAAGGGAGGACAAAGGGAAACCTTTTTCCGCTTCCTTAAAACATCGATGTCGTGCTGGGCCTTCTCCCCTGGCAGCATCCGCCACACGTCTCGCTGTCCGCGCTCGCGCGTTCCGGTCAGCCTAACGAGCGCGACTCTGCTCACCAGGCAAGGGCGTCAAGGTGGCCATCTTCGACACCGGCCTGAAGAAGGGCCACCCGCACTTCCGACGCGTCAAGGAGCGCACCAACTGGACGACGGAGAAGACGCTGGACGACGCGCTTGGCCACGGCACGTTCGTGGCCGGTGTGATCGCCAGTCAGGCCGAGTGTCTGGGCTTCGCGCCCGACGCCGAGCTGCATATTTTCCGGGTCTTCACCAAGAAGCAGGTGCGGCAGGATGACGCGGGGGCCAGAGGAGCGGGGATGCGTAGGAAGAGGCAGGGAGGGGTGGAGATGGGCAGGGAGAGGTGGAGAGGCAGGGATGGACGAGGAGGGGTGTGGGGGGGGGGGGAGGGGAGGGAGACTGGGAAGCGTGAGACAGATGGATAACAGCTCTGCGTATGAGGCGAAACTGTGAAGGTGTTGCGTATTTTCCTGTGCGTGTGGGCGTGTGAAAGGCGAGCACCTGCACGAGCACCACTGCATGTCCTTGTCCCGTGCCTGTTGCCATTTGTAGCGATTCTTGCCATCACAATTCACGCCAAAGCCCATTGTTTTTGTCGCCAGTCATCCTTCACCTCCTGGTTTCTGGACGCCTTCAACTACGCGATCCTGAAGAGAATCAACATCCTGAACCTGAGTATCGGCGGGCCGGACTTCATGGACCAGCCGTTCGTGGACAAGGTGTGGGAGCTGACCGCCAACGGCGTCATCATGGTATCGGCGATCGGCAACGACGGACCCCTCTACGGGTGAGCGACTGGCACACAAACCCCTCTGTGGGTGAGTGACTGGAACACGGAGCCCCCCCCCCCCCCCTGTGGGTGAGTGACTGGGATGTTGACCCCTCTACAGGTGAGTGGATGGCACGTTGACCCCTTTATGGGAGAGTGACTGGCACATGGACCCCTCTATGGGAGAGTGACTGGCACATGGACCCCTCTATGGGAGAGTGGCTGGCATATGGACCCCTCTATGGGCGAGTGGCTGGCACGTTGACCCCTCTATGGGCGAGTGGCTGGCATATGGACCCCTCTACGGGCGAGTGACTGGCTCATGGACCCCTCTACGGGCGAGTGACTGGCTCATGGACCCCTCCACGGGCGAGTGACTGGCTCATGGACCCCTCTACGGGCGAGTGACTGGCACACGGCGTCAGTAGTAGCTTAACGCGCCACCCTGGCTCACTCGTTGGGACTGCACCCCACTGTGGGGCATCAGGCGTGGAGCACGGTGTCATCCGATCGTGGGCCTGGCGCGTTCCGAGCCGGGCTGTTGGGTTGACTGGACCGGCACGCTGCGGGCTCCCGCCGACGCCGCACCAGTGACCGATCGCCGCTCCTTGCAGCACGCTCAACAACCCGGCCGACCAGATGGACGTGATCGGCGTGGGCGGCATCAATTTCGAGGACCAGATGGCGCGCTTCTCGTCTCGAGGGATGACCACGTGGGAGCTGCCCGCCGGATACGGCCGGGTGCGTTTGATCGTCTTCTGCCATCGGCTCCGCCCACGCGCTCCCGTCAGCCGAGCATGGTTCGGAAGCACCTCGTCAGCGGGGAAAGCAGCCACGGCGTTGACTGATAGTCTTGCTTAGATCTCGCAGTGCTGGCGGTCGAGGTGCTGAACTCTTAGTCGGCTGGGGGCGCTGGGCGCGGGATGTAGCCCGCGGTGCCATACTGGGCTGTCGCTTACTCTTGCTTACTGGGAGATTTGACTGTTGCTTGATCCAATGTAAGTCCGGGACATAGGGGGCTCCAATGCTGAGGCTGGTTGCAGTGCGATACGTCGGTGTTCCGATGTGCTCGCTGCGCGAGCTGGTGCCGATGTGTGACGACTCGTGCCCCTGGCGACCGCCGCCGCCTTCTCGGCCGACTGCTGGCGTGGCGGCGCACGGCGGCGTTCCGGCGGTCGGTGACGCCGGCGCCGTCTCGTGCTCAGGTGAAGCCGGACGTGGTGACGTACGGGTCGGCGGTGCGCGGCAGTAACGTGGCCGGCGGCTGCAAGTCGCTGAGCGGCACCAGCGTCGCCTCGCCGGTGAGTACTGCCGCGCCCGGCTGCCGCCGGCACACGCCCTCGTCGTTCCACACGCACACACACGCGCACTGGTACTGGGTTATGCACTCATCATGTCATTGTCAAAAGGTTTTTACAATGATGTAGCTGTAACGGGCCACCCATAACCACTGCCCAAGGCAGCTGTAATGTCTGACGTATGGTATCCTTCCGAGGTCATACCACGCACGGACACTTGACCTGCGTGACCTCTCACAGTGTTTCAAAGTGGCACATACGCATTTTTTGTGCGGAATTTTTCCGTATAATACCTGCCTCATGTACGCTTCACGTCCCTCACCAAAGATGTGTACAGGCCCATACCAGGGCATCAATGTGTACAGGCCCATACCAGGGCGTCAGTGTGTACAGGCCCATACCAGGGCGTCATTGTGCACAAGCCCATACCAGACCGTCAATGTGCACAGGCCCATACCAGGGCGTCATTGTATACAGGCCCGTACCAGGGCGTCAATGTGTACAGGCCCATACCAGAGTGTCAATGTGTACAGGCCCATACCAGGACGTCAATGTGAACAGGCCCATACCAGAGCATCAATGTGTACAGGCCCATACCAGAGCGTCAATATGCACAGGCCCATACCAGAGCGGCCATGTGTACAGGCCCATACCGGAGCGTCAATGTGTACAGGCCCATACCAGAGCGCCAATGTGTACAGGCCCATACCGGGGCGTCAATGCGGACCTCGGCGACGCACAACAGAGACCAGAGTTACGGAGACAGCTACAAATGTCATTCATATCTCTGGTGGCAAAATAAAACAATTCAGCATGAACCAGCTTCAAATGGTCACATGGTAGAAAGGGTCACGAGGTGCTTGGGTCAAAAAATGACCAGAAGTGCTTATTGGTATTCGAATGGGTGCAGCAGATCATCTGCTGATATATGTAGCTCCTTTGTTGGTTTTATCATTGTTAGTATTAGACTACTGAAGCGTGTTTTGGAAAGCATCCCACAGAATGTCGATGTATGGTCATGCAAACACACATCTCGGGCGTGCCCTAAACGTCGTTTTATCCTTGATGTCGCCTCGACTGTAAGCGGCCCACGTGGAACACGGGTCGGCACGGCTGCGCCTTCAACACAATGTCAGGTCCAACGAAACGGGCGCTGTTCGGTCCCGGGTCTCCGTTCGGTCTCGGGTCCTCGGGTTTTGAAGCCATCAGTGAGGAGCTGCGCGTTCGGCCGAGCGCCCTCGACGTCTGAGCCTGCGCGGAATGACGGACCTCTAACGTTGACGCCATCCATGCTGACCGTCTCATGTCTGTGCCCGTGGGACCAGGTGGTGGGCAGTCCCGTGGCTTTGTTGGTCTCCGCCGTGCTGACCGTCTCACCTCTGGGCCGCTGTGACCAGGTGGTGGCCGGTGCCGTGGCTCTGCTGGTCTCCGCTGTGCTCCACCGCGGCTCTGTCATCAACCCGGCCAGCGTCAAGCAGGCGTTGATGGCGTCCGCCCGCCGGCTGCCCGGTGTCAACATGTTCGAGCAGGGCGCCGGCAAGCTCGACCTCATCAAGGCGTACCACGTGCTGTCACGCTACAAACCGCAGGCCAGCCTGAGCCCCAGGTCAGGCTCGATCCCATGGTCCCAGCTCGTGCCTCGCCACATAACCCTAGTTGAGGCTCCGTAGCCAGGTGTCGTCTCACCCTCGGGCCGCGTCCTTGGCTCGGCCCGTAAATGGATGCTTGGGTGACAATAGGCCGTGCGGGCGACGGCTGCACGTAACGTCTGTGGTCGGTGTTTCCTACAGCTCGGTGGACCTGACCGAGCGCCAGTACATGTGGCCGTAGTGTAGCGTCTGTGGTCGGTGTTTCCTACAGCTGGGTAGACCTGACCGAGCGCCAGCACATGTGGCCGCAGTGTAGCGTCTGTGGTCGGTGTTTCCTACAGCTCGGTGGACCTGACCGAGCGCCAGTACATGTGGCCGCAGTGTAGCGTCTGTGGTCGGTGTTTCCTACAGCTGGGTGGACCTGACCGAGCGCCAGTACATGTGGCCGCAGTGTAGCGTCTGTGGTCGGTGTTTCCTACCAAAGCTGAGTGGACTGACCGAGCGCCAGTACATGTGGCCCGCTGTGGTACGTCTGTGGTCGGTGTTGTCCTACAGCTGGGTGGACCTGACCCGGAGGCCAGTACGTGTGGTCGTGCACCTGTGTAAAAATGTCACGTAATCTGTGGTCGGTGTTTCCTACAGCTGGGTGGACCTGACCGAGCGCCAGTACATGTGGCCGCAGTAACGTCTGTGGTCGGTGTTTCCTACAGCTCGGTGGACCTGACCGAGCGCCAGTACATGTGGCCGCATGTAACGTCGTGGTCGGTGTTTCCTACACCCGGTGGACCTGACGGCGCCAGTACATGTGGCCGCACGTAACGTCTGTGGTCGGTGTTTCCTACAGCTCGGTGGAACCTGACCGAGCGCCAGTACATGTGGCCGTACGTAACGTCTGTGGTCGGTGTTTCCTACAGCCCGGTGGACCTGACCGAGCGCCAGTACATGTGGCCGCAGTTAACGTCTGTGGTCGGTGTTTCCTACAGCTCGGTGGACCTGACCGAGCGCCAGTACATGTGGCCGCAGTGTAGCGTCTGTGGTCGGTGTTTCCTACAGCTCGGTGGACCTGACCGAGCGCCAGTACATGTGGCCGCAGTGTGGCGTCTGTGGTCGGTGTTTCCTACAGCCCGGTAGACCTGACCGAGCGCCAGTACATGTGGCCGCTGTGAAACGTCTGTGGTCGGTGTTTCCTACAGCTGGGTGGACCTGACCGAGCGCCAGTACATGTGGCCGCTGTGTAACGTCTGTGGTCGGTGTTTCCTACAGCTGGGTGGACCTGACCGAGCGCCCGTACATGTGGCCGCCGGGTAGCGTCTGTGGTCGGTGTTTCCTACAGCTGTGTAGACCTGACCGAGCGCCAGTACATGTGGCCGCTGTGTAACGTCTGTGGTCGGTGTTTCCTACAGCTATGTGGACCTGACCGAGCGCCAGTACATGTGGCCGCTGTGTAACGTCTATGGTCGGTGTTTCCTACAGCTATGTGGACCTGACCGAGTGCCAGTACATGTGGCCGTACTGCACGCAGCCGCTGTACTACACCGGCATGCCAACCGTCATCAACGTGACCATCCTGAACGGTGCGTGGTGGGTGCAGAGGCCTGACCGGGCCAGCGGTTCCGCCCGGCCGTGCCGGCTTGGTCGAGATCCGCTAGTTATGCCTCCATCGGCCGATGTTGGACGGCGTGCGTAGTGACTTCTTGCGGATGCGCGTCAGGAGGAGAAATGCTTTCTTGCGTCGTCGCCGTGGTTCACGTTGAGCTTTAGCCAGCGTTGTGATGCCCATGCCATGTCAACGCCGTCTCATCCACGTACACCGCGTTCCGTCCGCCTGGCAGTAGCTGCGGCGCAGCGCCCGGTCACCTTCGGCCCGAGCCCCTTTGCCGTGCCCCATCTGACGTCGGCGCTCTCTCCCGGCGGCGGCAGGGATGGGCGTGTCGGGCCGCATCGTGGACGGCCCCACCTGGCACCCGTACACGCCGCAGTACGGCCACCACCTGCGACTGGCGTTCTCGCACTCGGCCGTGCTGTGGCCGTGGTCGGGCTTCCTGGCCGTGTCCGTGTCGGTGGCCGAGGCGGCCGCGCTCTGGGACGGCACCGTGCAGGGCCACGTGCAGCTGACGGTCGAGTCGCCGGCTGAGGACGGCGAGACCGAGCCGCGCACCTCCACCGTCCGGCTGGCGCTCAAGGCGCGCATCATCCCGACGCCTCCGCGCAGGTGAGCGGCGGCTGGGCGGGCGGCAGGGCGCCGCCTTCAGGCGGCGGCCGCTGTGCCGCCGGACGGCGGCAGGGCGGTGTGCGGAGGCGCCGGGCAGCGAGCAGCATCGGCAAGGGGCGGTGTGCGGAGGCGCCGGCAGCGAGCAGCGGCAGGGCGGTGTGCGGAGGCGCCGGGCAGCGAGCAGCGTAGGGCGTGTGCGGAGGCGCCGGCAGCGAGCAGCGGCAGGGCGGTGTGCGGAGGCGCCGGGCAGCGAGCATCGGCATGGGCGGTGTGCGGTAGGCGCCGGGCAGCGAGCAGCGGCAGGCGGTGTGCGGAGGCGCCGGGCAGCGAGCAGCGCAGGGGGCGGTGTGCTGAGCCCACTGACCGCTGCTCTCAGCCCCCCGCCGATCTCTGTCCTGTGGGAGCCTGGGTGGTACTTCTGTGTACCTGTGGACTCGTGGATGCATTTCCTGATGTGTTGGTGCGTACATCTGGTTAGTGTTCCGGTGTCGGCGCCGCAGCCGGCGGCGGCCGACCTTGTCATGTATGGGTATGATGCTGGCTGATCTTGTCGTGTATGTGGATGATGCTGGCTGATCTTGTCATGTCTCGAGACGATGCGGGCCGACGTTGTCGTGTATGGGTATGATGCTGACTGACATTGTCATGTCTCGAGATGATGCTGGCTAACGCCGCGGGCCGTGCGTCCTCAGTAAGCGGATTCTGTGGGACCAGTACCACAACCTGCGCTACCCGCCGGGCTACTTCCCGCGTGACATTCTCAAGATGGTCAGCGACCCTCTCGACTGGAACGGCGACCACATCCACACCAACTTTAAGGTCAGTTGGGGTAGCACGTCTGATCAGCTGCCGTGTCTTGTTGGGTCTTTTGTCACACATGGCGCCCAATTGTTCTTTCGAAATATTCTGAGAAACGTCTTGGTACCTCCTTACGTCGGCTGAAAACTGGGATGTGCGCGGCTCTCTGCGCAAGGGCGTACAGGACGTAACTAGTTTGAAATGATTGCACTGGTTTAAGAAAAACCGCATGCATTCCTTAGGCACTGAGAAAGACATTCCAGAAAAAGCGAGAAAAGATTAACTGTACCTGAGTCGGTTAGAACATATTTAAAGTTCAGACCTTTAAACGCTAATGTATCACCCTACATCCACTGTATCTCCTATTTACCACTGCCGTCAACTTTCGGTTGTTACTATCTGCTGTGGAAATGGTCAGATTCGCCATCCGTTTTACACGCGGGGCAGCGCGCAGAGACCCAGTCGTGTACGTTTTGGCTTTCATCGGAGCCAGCAGATGACATAAAGACCGTGCGACTGCCGAATGTAATCTGCTCAATGCTGCTGTGTCGCCGTGTACTGAACTAGCTACGATGGGCTGCGCGTAGAACTGTAGCCTGGTTGGCGAGTGGACCACTGTGATTGGTTGATCATTGGAGTTTTCGAGCGCGTCGCCTGCGGGGGCCATGGTGCGCCCCGCGGACCACCATGGTCACCGCTGAAGGCTCATGGTGGACCGCTTGTTGCTGTCACCGCAGGACATGTACCAGTCGTTGCGCACGAATGGCTACTACGTGGAAGTGCTCGGCGAGCCGTTCACCTGTTTCGATGCCAAACACTACGGCACGCTGATGATCGTGGACGCCGAGGAGGAGTACTTCCCGGAGGAGGTGGGCATGCCGTCTGCGGAGTGCCGGGTGTCATGCGATCTCTTTTGATCAGGCGTCAGGTCAGGCGTCAGACTAGGCGTCAGACCAGGCGTCATACCGGGCGTCAGGTGAGGTGTCAGACCAGGCGTCAGACCAGGCGTCAGATCAGGCGTCAGACCAGGCGTCAGGTCAGGCGATAGGTAAGGCGTGCCCTGTGGACCAGAGTGGGTAGCGTTATTGACATATGATCTATATTCGGCATTTATTTAACCGGAATTAGCGACTTTATTCGACGTGCTGCTTTGCGTGTAGCGACAGGACATCGCTCGTCACCACGCATGGCAAGACATTCGCGCCTGTGTAACCGGCGTCCGACAAGGCGTGTAACCGGTGTACTCGCCCTCCCGTGCGTCGCGACATCGCGCAATCCGTGACGCGTCCCTGCGTCTGTGTCGTGCAGGCCGCCAAGCTGCGTCGAGACGTGGATGAGGGCCTGTCGCTGCTCATCTTCGCCGATTGGTATAACGTGGTCGTCATGAAGAAGGTCAAGTTCTATGACGAGAACACCAGGTGGGTGTCACGTTGGCAGTTGCTTTGTCCGTTGTCGGGTGGCTGTGTCACTCAGGCGTCAAGACATGGCCCTGGTCGTCGTCGCTGCCTGGCAGCCTGTTGCGGGGTGTTGAAACAGCGTGCGCCAGGGGAGCAGCATCGGTGACAGGGACACCTCGTCAGCGGCCTCCGACGTTGTCTGCGCCCGCCACCGCCGGCGCCCGGTGCCCCGGAGGTGGCGGGTGGCTGGTGGAGCCGGCCACGGCCTGATGACCGCCGGAAGCAGTGCACCGCGCCGCCTCCGGTGACCGGGCGGGGGCAGTGGGCGCCCTCTGTGCGCGGGGCTCCGCACCCGGACCGGACGCCGGCGGCGGCTGGGCAGGCGTCGGCCGCTGACGCCGTCCGCGCCCGCCACCGCCGCCGGCCGGCGTGTGGGCGCCCTGACCGCCAGCCCTCTGCCGCAGGGAGTGGTGGGTGCCGGACACGGGAGGCGCCAACCTGCCCGCCCTCAACGACCTGCTGGCCGCCTGGGGCATGGCCTTCAGCCAGCAGGTAACCCGACCAACCCGGCACGAACACAAGGAACTGTCAGGGGCGCAGGACAACATTATCAGCATTATCACCAACTAAGGTGTCACACCAAGTCGCAACAGTCCATGCAAACGATAACAATCGCGAATGGGCGTAGTGCGCCCAAATCTGTTAATCGTTACCAGACGCATGTCTGCCATAAGGTGTAAGGTGCGGTCCGTAAAGGATAGGCCGCCACACGTGTTTTTTTTTTTTAAATGCTTTGTGTGTTCGTGACCTGAGTTCCAAAATGGTTGCGTGGTACCAGGCCGTAACAACCAGCGCTGAAATCGACCAACAAATTTCTCAGCGAGAAAACTCATTTTGATTGAGAGACTCGTCTTAAATCGGCGCGTACCGGGTCTTCTGGTGAGTCTCTACGTCAGGGCGTGCGACCGACGCCGGCGGAGGTGCTGGGGCGGCCGCCGTCGGACCTGACCCGCCCGTCTTCCGCCAGGTGGTGGACGGCGAGTTCAAGTTCAATGGCCAGACGCAGAGCTACGCGTCGGGCACCACGCTGGCCCGCTTCCCCAAAGAGGGCACTGTGATCCGCCACTCGCTGCGAGACCAGGCCGCGGAGGTACGGCCGCCCGCCCGCCCGCTCGCCTTTCGGTGGCGACGGCCGGTGGCGCGCCAGGGGGGGGGGGGGGGTCGTCAGAGCGCTCAGAGCGTCAGAGTGCTCGTCGTGTCAGTGATGGTCGAAGGCCGTGGCGCCGTCTCATCAGACACTGAAGCGCGGCTTCTGCTGTTGAAATGTCGCCTTAGTTACGCCTCGCCTCGGGTGTTACGTTGCGGCCAAGTGAGAGTCGTTGTATCGAGTGCGGCGGTTCTGTGTGGCCTGCTTTCCGTCCGTGTGGGTGGGAAGGTTTCGCTTATCGTCCTCAGTATGCTTATCATCGCCTGCCGCTGTCCGCTGGGAGGACGATCCCGGAGCTGACCGGACTTGTCCACATGTGTCGGAGCGGGGGAGGCGGCTGTTGTGCCCCTAGAGTGAACACTTAACGCCGGCAGCTCCGGGGGTCCCCGAGTGGGCGGGGCGGACCCGGCCCGCCTGACCCCGGCAGCTTCGGGGGTCCCCGGGTGGGCGGGGCAGTCCCCCGCCGTACGTGCGCCTGACGCCGGTAGCCCGGTGGGTCCCCCGAGTGGGCGGGGCGGACCTCGGCCCGCCTAACGCCGGCAGCTCCGGGGGTCCCCGGGTGGGCGGGGCGGACCCGGCCGTACGTGCGCCTGACTGGGTGCTCGGCCGTCAGATCGTGGACGGGCTGAAGAAGAAGGTGCCTGACGCGGCCGTGCTGGGCCTGTACCAGACGCGCGGAGCGGCCGCCGGCGGCAGGATCGGCCTCTACGGAGACTCCAGCTGCCTCGACTCCAGCCACATGCAGAAAGGTCAGCCGGTGCCGCCCGTCGCCATAACCCCTCCAGTCAGCAATGAATCAGCCCCTCGGATCGATGGTAATGTAACCAGACATACAGTGTTTACGACATTTAACGTTATGAGTTAGGTCACTTTGCGACTGGTTTAATAAGTTACCTCTTCATTGAAAGGTGACGCCCGAGTTCGAATTTATGCTGACCGAGATGGCATTAAACTTTACCGTCACCACATATACTGAACATCAGTCCGTGGACGTTGTGTTCGCACGCATGCCCAACGGCAAGGTAAGCAGCACCACGGACCTGACGCACTTGTGTGGCGTCCGCGTCCATCAGGCCGTCGTGGCGTGACATAACGCCCCCCCCCCCCCCCCCCCCACTCTCAGACTGCTTCAACCTGCTGTCGGCGCTGCTACACTTCACGTCGTCGGGCCACGTGCCGTCTACGCTGACGTCGGAGCACGTGCAGCCGGTGACATCGGAGCTGGTGCTGCCGGAGCGCATGGAGGGCAGCAACCTGCACAGGTGAGGGGGGGGGACGGCCACGTGCGCCGACCGGGGCGGACCGACCGCCAGACGTCGGCTCCACCCAGCCACGAGCGAACCCAGCCGACGGGGTGCCGTGGGGTGGTCGGGACGTGGTGACGTGGTAAACTAGCAGAGTGTTCAGGAACTCTGCTTTGGTAGACGCCAGCAGGCAATTTTATCCGAACCCAAGTGAATGTGTATATATATGTGTGTGTATCCTTCAAGCATTTCCGAAGCCACACTTGAAGTGCAATAGTCTAAGTTATGGAATGGACCAGCCAAACAAGCAGCGTTCAACAAGTTAACAAGTTACTGAACAGGAGTGTTTTATGGAGTGCTATTCGAAGTGGAACGTGCACAAGGCGCATTTTGGTTCACATTGTCATTTTTTATTGCAAGCGGCATTTACTGTAGACAGGATGACAGTGCTGTGGCCGAACAAAGGGATTCGTCTGCATGCAAATACAAAAATGTTCTGTAATGTAATAGCAGGACTATTATTGCTGTGCATACCTGACATGATAAAACGCACTTGGTCACACAAAGTATGCACTAAACAAATTTTCATTTTTTATAAAAGATTCAGGTTGAAAGACTGGTTCATTCCATTTAGACTGATTTACTTAAAGTATGGCTTCGGCCATTCACACGTCGATTTACTTGGGTTCGAACAGGCTTGTCCGCTGACGTTCACTCAATCAGTTCGAGCAGCTCTGCAGATTCTCTCCAGATCTGGCGACGAAGGCGTCTGTGCTGCAGACGGCTGACTGCGTTTATGTTGAACGTGGAAGTCGAAGTCGCCGCTTTGCTTGACGTGTTCCCATCGGAGTAATGTATTATGAGTTTCCGTAGATTTTTTGTCAAAGGCCGTTAAAACAAAGGTAAAGTGTGGAAGAAAGTGTGTCGTGTAAGCCGTAAACGGGAAGTTCGATGGAAGATTTCATTCTTAAAGAATATAAGATTTTAAGCGTGAAATCTCACCTATTGAGGAGGAATCAAAACTATTTGAAATCGTAACCCTACAAACCCGATCTACGCGCGTACGTCGATTGCATCCTAGAAGGCGGCTCTCCGTGTTTAAACCCCGCACATGCTGAGCTACGAAAAGACACAGCTGCTTTGCCTCGATGTGGCCCAAACGCGAGAATCGCATTTTGATCGTGCTCCTCCCTCTGACCGATGCGCAGTTGGTTACGGCTTCCGAGTGGGACTGGGGGGATTGGTGTTGTAGAGCGAGCTGAATTCAGGCGGTGCAGTGACGCGACCGGTGCTGCGCTCTCAGAACGCTCCACGCGCCACACAGAGTCCCGGAATCGCTCCTCGGCGGTGGGCCTCTCAGCGGGGTCGGCCGGCCCGCCGAAGATGCGGGATCAGCTGGGGGCCGTGGTGCGATGATTTCATATCAGTTGTGCCATAGCGGACAAGTAAGACTGCGGTCCATTGGAGCGTACGATGATGGCTACAATGCAGCGGCGTATCACCGTGGGCCGTGACCGGGCACGCCCGTGGATGCCCGTCACGTGCCCCTCGGGCGCGCCGTCACGCCGTGCGCGCGCGCCACTGTCGGCCGGTCACGTGACAGTCGCCGGACGCCCGGCAGGCACTCCAAGGTGCTGAAGAACGGCCTGGACGGCCAGTCGACGCTGCCGCTGCCGGCCTGCGCGCGCCGCGAGTGGGCGCACCCGTCGCCGGTCAACCAGTCCGGCCCGTCCAACCTGTACCAGGTGAGGACAGCCGCCACCGCCGCCCGGCGGGCGGCCCGGGGGAGGAGGTTTGCTTGGCGAGCACTGCGCACGTTGGCCGCCGACGGAGTGCACTATGATACGATACACCAGATTCGAGTGTGCGAGTGCTGGCGCTCCGTTGCACTGCGTTTGCAGATAGATCCTGCGATTCGGTGATGCTCTCTTGCCGAAGTCGTGGGGCTGGCTGTTTCGCTTATGTTTGTGGGTGGCGATGGTTTTGGCCCGCTGCCAGACGTGAGACGTAGCCACGGATCATGCTACCATTGTGGTTAGTTAAGGGAAACCTGGCACTACGCGGCCCTGACATGCCCAGGTCGCCTCTCGACGACGCCGTATAGGTCAGCGGCGCGTCATTGTTTTGCCTAGTTTTCTGTGACCGCACGCCGAGGCTACACGGTTGGTCGCTGCCTTCAAGTATTCATGCACCGCGGCATTCGTCAATGGCGAAATCACGTGGTTTGGCGTGACTTAACAAAAACGAGTCGGTTAGCGTTTTCACGTTTAACTGTTGGGTATTTGTGGTCTTGTAATTCATTGCCTGACATGATAGGATGACAGAACTGTCAAATTCGTCTACGTTTAAATGCGGGGTATGCTTGTGTGGGAATGCACGCGGGTTGAAAACTGGCAGAGCGTGATTTTATGGCGAGTGGAGGTCGGGGCCTCACTGTTTGGCAAATAACCCGAGGTGAAAGGAAAGTCGGGAGCTTTTGTGAGGGGGTTTTAAAGGGGTTTGTGAAGGGGTTTTACGAGAAGGGAGGTCCGAGACGGAGGCGAAAGTCGTGATAATGGAAAAGTCAGGTTGAAACAAGAGGCTACCTTTTCGACCACAAGAACAAATAAAAAAGAATGTTTACTGTTTTGCTTGAAGATCTGCCAGCTGATTTTTATGACTGAAATCTACATGTCTTTTCAGTAAAACGCGATTTCCATGGTTTTCCTTGGCGACGTTTGAGCACTGATCGCAGCATAAGATGACAGTTTTTGTCCAGAGGATTGCGCGATTACGTGAGATACTCTGAAGCCTAAATCTATCGGTACATTTTCAACTCGATCAGGTCAACGATGTCTGAGTCATAGTCAAAGTCAGAGTCATATCTGACTCATTTTGGAGAGGTCACAGGCTGAGTACCTGTCTTGGTGACCCGCACCTCGTGCAGAGACCTCGTTGGAATGGCGGACACTCGCGCGATGTTTGGCGAACATCGTACTAATTAATAATATAAACCTCTCTGATTCATTGTTCGTGGTCCGACGTTTTAACCTTGGGCCTCGTGACATAAGTCGTGAACCCTAACACGGAGTGCAACAAAGTACACGAGTATTCGGCTATTATCGAACAACCAATAGGTAACATTCAATAGCAGAGGGGAAATGGGCTCTTTCAAACAGGCGTATTGGTGGTGGTAAAATTTTATTGAAATATATGGGAGTATTGTCCACAAGTTTTGCTATACAATTGGGTATGTTTGGAATGATCAGAAACGTACGCAGGATCTCGCGATGGGGGGGGGAGGGAGGGCACAACTCACTTTTTACTAGAAATTTAGTTTAGTGCGTCGCAGGTGCTTCAGTTTGCTGCATACCGCAAATAACATCATGCGTGGTTGGCATCCTTAGTTTACGCGTCATTTTCCTTCATTTTTTTCCATTTTCTGTAACTTTTCTTGTGTTTCCATGTAGTTAATTACATAAACATATAACAAATTTATAACGGAAGTGCGCGTACTTTGGGATCTCTGGGTGTTTGTCCCTGAGAATGACTCCCTCCGTAATCTGGGTGTCATGGGCGCGAAATGACCACAGTAGTCGGCGCGCCCTAAAACTCTAATCAACAACGACAACCAAAAGTTGGCAAGCAGGTGTGCATTTTGAGGTGGAAAATAGTACATTTTTCTGTCAATTACGAAGCACAAATATTAAAACGAATGTATATGTCTAATCCGTATAAATAATCTAAATAAATAAAAATATAATTAAATGTATATATATATATATATAATGTATATATGTTTATATAATATGGAGAAATAATTGCTTTAATGCGAAATGGGCGTTGTATGATTGCACTTGTTAACGTATGAGATGTAGACCGCCGATGTCACGCAATGCGACCTGTCAGAAATCCCGAGTGCTCGGTCCACCGCTGCTTGTCGGGCTGAACATTGCACAGTTAGCTTCAGAGCATCAGGTACCCTTAAAGGTGCGTTAGGCCCATCCGAAAGACGAGGCTGCCGACCATCGGCCGGTCTGCCGTGGAACGGCCCATTGACGGTGGAAAAGTTGCGTGTTGACGGTGACGGCGCATCACAGTTGTGGAACACGGAATTCCATCGTTCCGACTGGGGGCGGCGCCGCGCTGGGCGTCGCGCCGCCCCCAATCGGATGCACCCCGCTGACCCGTGCCGACAAAGCGGCCCAGACGCGCCGCCTGGCAGCACCGGCGGCGCCACGCTCGCCACGTGCATGTGCACCGCGGCGTGTTGTTTGCCTGACGTGTGCCGTGTGAGGTGTGAGGTGTGCGCGTGCGCGTGCCGGCCTCAGTTTCGCTTCTCACGCGTCCGTCTGGCCGGCGTGCGCTCTCTTGCAGTCCGCCAAGCTGCTGTCTGTGGGTCTGGAAAGCCCCATTCTGCCGCTCAACGCTATACGCCAGGATGTGCTCAAATCGCCGCAGGTGGGTGGATGGGGTGCTACGGTCGGCGCCCGGTGCGGCTGCACGGTATCTCAAGCGCATTTAACAATGTTGTATAGCAGCCGCTGTGTATCTGATGCAAGATTGCGGAACATTGTTGCATCCGGGTTTTTGTATTGCACGGAGCGAAATTTTAACCCGTTTACTATGCTATAAGCCGCGTTCTTTTTCGTCTTTGAAGTGGCGGGGGTCCCCGTTGGACTTTGGGGCACTTTTTGGTGTCGGTGCGCACATTCCCGCGTAAATAGGCAAACTCGCTGCTCTGCATACCAAGAGTTGGCATGATCCGACGATAAACACGATGTGCCATCACTCACCAATGACTTTCGCGCGTTTTGCGCGCGTTCATTCCATCTCACGCTCGTCACAGTATACACGCACCTTCGACAAACATACGAACACATGCCGCATCGCTGGGAAACCAGCCCAAATAACACTAACGTTTGCTTCAGTCACACTTAAACTTAAGCTAAATGTGGCGTGATTGATACGTTTGCATTCGTGATTCGTGTTGTCATTCGATTGGGCACCGTGTTGTGTTTGCATGCACACAAACGTGGACACTGTGAAGAACGCATGTGTGGGCTATTTTAGCTCTACTTTTGAACTAGTTGCAAGCTTCGAACTCACGACTAATGGAATGTGCTAGAGCCTGAAAAATATGTTTTTATCAATGTTCCCTTGAAAGGAGGCGAAGAGCCATGATATTAGCGGTGTTTTCCAAAATTCCTCATCCTGTGCTGATTGTTACGATAGCGTGGCGGCCAGTCTTTTGTGAGTTCGGGCCCCGGCGGCCGGGCGGCCACCGTTATGTCCTGTGCTGCCCGCGCCGGGCCGTCTCAGCACCGCGTGCGGCCTCCGCGCGTGGCCTACGTGTGACCTGCCGTCGGTCCCGCGGCCGCCTGACCGTGGCCCGGCTGACCTCGGTGTGCGCGTGCCGACAGAGCGGCTGGCCGGAGCCGGCCTCGGGCGTCGGTGCCGTGCGGATGAGCGCCGCCCGCCGGCCGCCGCTGCCCGCCTACGCGCTGATCGGCCTGCTCACCGTCTCCATGTTCGTCGTCTGCTACCTGTACAAGCAGTCGCGCGGCCGGCGGCGGCGGCGGCCCAAGGCGCGCCGCCTGCTGGCCGCCGCCGGTGCCGTGCGCGTGCCGGTGGTGTGAGCGGGCGGCCCCCGGCCGGCCGACCGGGGGCCGCCTGCCAGCTCGCCCCTCCAGCCCACGGACCGACTCCTCGCGCTCAGTCAGGCGTCTTCAGGCCGGTTGGCGCCGCTTTTGGCGCCGCCGCCGCCGCCGCTGCCGCCTCCTCGACATTGTAGGAGCGGATTGTGTGACGAGGCCGGGTGTTTTTATACGATTGAGAGTTGGCTGGGGCTGCTGCGAGCCGTCCTGGGGACTCGCTCTCCAGGTTGTGATATATGTGGGCAAGGCGCCTGGCTCTGTTGCGCACGATTGACTCTGGTGGTTTTGTCTGCTCCAGCGCCCGCACGGGCGCCGGCGCACACTGGGTATGCCGTTTCTCTGTTCGCGCCTATTTTGTGCAATGTTCCATAGTTCAATCGCAGCCCCGTTTTGAAGTTTTATGATGGAGGCATCAGTATCTGAATGCTCTGGGACTCAGCTACGCTACGATTGTGTTACGATTTGTGTCAGATGACTGCTGTACCGGTGTATTTATGTGTACAAGCCTCACTGCGCTGTCTGCATTCCGCAGCACTGATGACGTGATCGATTGGCTGAGCGCGTCCTTTGATAGATGTTTAGCCACTGACAGTAGACGAAAGAAAATCCACCGTGAGATGTGTCGCCACCGAATGTAATACAGTGCTTCGGCACCACCCGAGACGCTGTGGTTTGAAACACTACTTTGACGCCTCACTTCTCGCTTGCGCTGTCTCTTCGCGTAGCGGTGTTATGCCTGCCCATGTAGTTTTTTTCTAGGCCGCGACCAACGGTCAGTTGGACAGGATTTTGACGGTCAATAGTGCTTGTCTTTTCACGATGGCTCAGATTGATTATTTCGCTTGCGTGGGGATGCGGAAAAGCACTGATTAAGCACAGTGCGCGGCCAGTGGTCCCGCGATTTGGTTCGGTCAACACATGAACGACAGCAAATTTTCAACGGATTCAGTCCCATGCGTTGTGCCACGCGCGGCATCAATCAAGAATTGATCCACGCTTCTGCTGCCAATCGAAATCCGCCGTTTGAACGCTGACTAGCGGAAGCGTACCAGCCAATGCCGTGTTTGAGCAAAGCCTTCGGTGGCAGTTACGTTACGTTACATTACGTTACGACGCGATGCTCTGGGACATTTCACCGCCCTCTACACATGTCAAGTGGCCTTGGGCGTCGGCGCACCCGCAAACCCTTATGATATCGGCCTTTGTGTGGCGCTATAGCTGATGTTTGCACAATGGTGCGCCCCGAACGTCACGCAATACACGGACTTGTTCATGCTAGCTTAGAGGCTGATGCTGCTGCAACATATTTTTGTCTGGATCTCATTCCCAAGAACTTGCTTTTTCAGTGTAAGTCTAAGGTGAAGTTCTTACGGTGTTTCTAAGATGATGCTGGTTGGCTGAGGATCGGTGAGAAAATTATGATAATTGTCTTTCACTGGCACTCTTCCTATGACAAAATTGCTGTTATACGCATGATGTATCTGTATATCGGCTAAGAATGACGTGGTTTTGATGTGACGTCGCGGATTGATGATGCGGCTCATGCCATGAACGAAAAGGTAAGATCTGGCCGGCAAACCGTGTCCGATCTCGACAGCTATAGTTGGACTTTACCACCTGGCGTTCGAAGATACGAGGCGTTCCATGTGGGATTAATTTCATCGTTCACATCCGCTGCCATTAACTTCGTATGGGTCATTTCTGCCTCATGGTTGCGCAGCACCGTGTGCCATAGCTGAGACGCGAAAAATAAGATCGTGATATGAAATTTGAAATGAGATAAAAGTGAAGTATGTTGGCTGCTGTCCGTCAAGGGCCCACTACCCAAACAGGGCGCCTGCGTCAATGTCGTGAAAAAATATATGTCTGCTCCTTTGGCCGCCACCTCGGAGCTAACTTCCATTGTCGGCGGCCGCTTCAGACCCGTGTTGGCCGCGCCGGCGGCCGCGCGGCTGCCTGCCGTTTTTGCCGCCGCCGACGCGGTCCGGCCGGGCGGTCCGGGCCCTGACGAGTGTCACTCCCCCGTCTGTCGACGCTCCCCCGCCGCCGCCGATGGCAGCTGCGTCAGCTGTCCGGACGGGTCAGGGCCTGGGCGTCACGCTCCGTCGTCGCCCCGGCCCGGCGTCCGAGAAGCCACCGAGGCGACGAGCAGACTTAGAATGACGTGGGAGATGCTAAAGTGGAGGTCAACGTGGGAGCTGCGAATTCTGGCTGCCGGACGCTCCCGTGATGGGGCTTAAGTCCTGGGGCATTGCCTGCAGCATTCCGCAATGCTGCTGTGAACGGTTGTGACATCATTAAGACAACAAGCAGTGCTAAGGAAAACTGATCAACGCTGCGACGATATGTAAGCTCGGTTGCGCTTGTCGCTAGTAGGTGATTGCCTAATCCTAAGTGGGTTGTTTTAATACGCTTTATCAAGTATGATTCAGGACTCGTTTGAAACGGCATTCATGTGTATCGACGAATGTGATCGCATGAACTGTCTCCTAATGGCTCGTAGATTTAAGATTCGGTGAACGGCAATAGCAAGAACACAGGCGCAGCCATGCCGCGGCGAGCGCAGTACCGCCACGAGGCGGTGCAGCCGTGCACGGCGCGTGGCTTCACCGTCAACGGGAGGCCCCTCAGGTTCCGCGCGCGTGAAATTGTGTCGGCCACGATGTTGTGATGGGTTGAAGAGTTTGGCGCTTGGCGGCCCGGAGCTCCTCTTGAAGGCACGACACCAAACCAGCGCCGACGTCAATGTTTCGATAGTAATGTTATCGTGAACTTTTCATCCTGACCTTGGCAATTGGTCGCGGCAACGCGTCAAGGCCTTCTCTGGCTTGGCTTCCCATGCTGGGATGGTTGTAAAGAGGAGTTTGTCGGGACAAACGAAGCGAATAATATTTGTACATCCATTACACGCTGCGTCCCATAAACCAAAGTACTCCGTCGTTTACGTCCACTGCGCTTGCAGTAAGGTCAGGGGACGCGCCTGAGCATGCCGATGACTCGGAACAACGTGCATGACAATGCGTCCGTCTCCTGAAGCTTGTATTATCAATAAATAACGACACTCCTTCACTGTAGTGGAAGTAACCAATCAAGGCATCAAGTCCCGTGACGGCTCGAATTTCGCGTTCAAAATCTTAACAAAAATCAGAGATAGAGATTTTGAAGTCTGATAAGGATCACATGATGAAAGCATCACTGCAGAAAGACTTAACCACAATAACGTGAACTCACATCCAATTTCACGTAACACTGGAGCTCCGTGAGCTCTGAGAGTTGCCTCCACTGACACATTCAGACCTATTAGCATTTCGTATGGGAGCCGTCAGTTCCAACCCAACGGATTGTAACATGGCATCGCACTGCGCGGAGAGATGGCGGCCGTGCGTCACTGCTGGCTGTCTGGCTGTCTCACAAGTAACCATGGCCATTTACCCCATGCGTCCCTGCTGCCGAGGCCGCGCACCTCGGGCAGTGTACCTCAGTCCGCCGGGCCGGAGGCCGCCTCCTCCAGACAGAGTGCCTCAGTCCGCCGGGCCGGAGGCCGCCTCGGGCGGCGCCTCCTCGCTGCTGACGTCGCCCTCGTCCTCCTCGTCTGAGGAGGAGGAGGCGGCGGCGCGCTCCTCCAGCTGGGAGGTGGACACCTGGCTGTCCTGCGGCTGGCCGGCCGCTGGCGGCGGCGGCGACGGCCTCTCGCTGAACGTCAGCCGCTGCAGCTCCACCAGCGACGGAACCGAGTTCTTCTTGGGCCGGCCCTTGGGCTTGGTGGGTGACCGCTCCCCCTTCAGCAGCACCTGGTGCAAATGCACTGTGTGAGAAAACGTACGGCCTGAAGGCGGCGTGAAAAGTGTCGGATGAATAGTTGCAGAATCTCGAAATTACTGCGTGCAGTGTAAGGAATACGTCACTCGGTGTCCCTCGGAGCAAAACACGCAAGCACGCTCATTTATCATGCAGTACACATGACCAATATGAGCAGTCCGTATTCGAAGGTCATATTCGAGAAAAACTAGGGCAACTGTTGCAAACCTCTCCCGGGGCGATGACAGAGGCAAAAGGCATAACTTGTCAACTCATGTTTGACCAGTCCTGGTGTGGCTTGTAAATGTCAAACTAATTTAAAGCTCTCCCAAAAACCTCCAGCATCCAAAACTGACCACTCATAATCGCATTTTTGTGTTGTCGGGTAGATTGATGGACGGTGCATACCTCGAAGTAGAAATTATCGTGTTCTTAAAAAACGCGCTTTCAACTTAATGAGATCGCCGCTTCTAGCGTTAATGATATTCCACGCCGACCTTGCGGCTGAATGCACATCTTGCCCCGTTTTGTAATACCACGTTCCATATCCACCATAATCCGACACATTGTAAAGTTCCAGCCCAAGCTCCAAGTTCCAGATGTTATATGCAAGTTCCAGCTGTCACCGTACGTAATCTTCCTAGCTTTGCCCTGGAATGTTATAGAGTGAAGTGCGAGCTGGTGGAGACAGAAGAAAGATACATGCAGATAGATGCCCAGGACATATACGTGGGAACAGTGCGGACAGTTACGACTGACATCCAAAGTCACACCGCGATCAGCAAAAGCAACCTGTCGGTCTACGGGCACGAGCCCCCTCCTGACGTAGTGCCGCACGGCCGCGTGGCGACGCACCTGGCGCGGAGATAGACACGACACGCGCCACCCGCCGCTGACGGCCTGTTGTGACCTGCCTGTCCGCTCTCGCCCCCGCCCCCGCCCCCTCGATTTGCAGGTGCTGCAGCGAGCACCGCTCAGCAGGGTGCGCAGCACGCGAGCCGCGCGGCCATTTCAAAGGGACGCGCAGCTATATTAGGGGCACTCAGCGATCTGACAAACGAGCGATCGTGCGTACGTGGCGCTTCTTTGGCCCCGCCGCCGCCGTCTTGAAAGCGTGGCGGGTATCCCGACGCATCGGCAAAACCGACGTCAGCGGGAAGCCCACCGCAGTCGGCGGCTGTAGCCATCGCGCATAATCCACTTTTAAATTACTTTACTTAAAAAAGCACGCAGTTACAGAATGGCAGCGTGCCCAGTGACTTGCATATCCTTGCCGCGAGGAATTCCCGACTGCACCTGCATAGAGACAGGGCCTCATTCGTTCAAGACGGCGGCGGGTAACCGGCGCGGCGGTCCGGGTGAGTGAATCGGACAGAGCCCCTGTCAGGGCCATGGACCCGCAGCAGACATCACTGCGGGCGCAACCGCGCTCAAGAGCGAACGAATCGGACAGAGTCCCTGTCAGGATCACGGGCCCACAGCGGACATCACTGCGGGCGCAACCGCGCTCCAGAGCGAGCGAATCGACAGAGCCCTGTCAGGATCACGGGCTCACAGCAGGCATCGCTGCGGGCTGCTGTGCTGCTAGGCTCGTTGACAACAGCGGCTTTAGGATACCTGACCGAACCGGCGTTCCACGCTGCAGAGGGTAGCTTTGAATGGTGCCGCCCTCGTCCTGACAACTCGGACACGCTTTCTAAGGGGGGGGGGGGGGTCGCCGACACGTGTGGTGGTTAAACCACATCAAGCCAACCCGTCGCACATATCGTCAGCGACTTCCGGGTCGATACTGGTCGGATGATGTCACCCGTTCATGGTGTCCCTGTTGGAGACACGAGGCGGCAAGGAGCAGTCCCTCCCTCGTATCTACAGAAGCGCGACGTTAAGGAGAAAAAAAGCACGAACGTTAAGGTCCTCTCTGCGCGACATATCTCGAGCCGTACAGATGTTTCATTTGTTCAGGCATGGCAACAGCCTATCAAAACGATTCTCCCATCACAAGCGATTTCTGCGCGCACGGTTACGATCAGGGACGTCATGAACCTGCCCCAGCTCATTGACGAGCCACGCCATCGCTGATCGCAAGGGCTCCTTGCACCACACCTTCTGAGCATCGCGCGTGGCTTTGAGTCAATGTGTGCCCTTTCTTAGCACACATCACATAGCACATAGCCAGACTGATGGCCGCGCAGTTCGCAGTTAGGTGGCTGCGGAGCTTCCGCGCGTGCTGCACACGACGAATCGAACACCCCGCGCGGAAGCTGGACACCCGGGACTGGAATCACGGCACGTAAATGCGTGAGCACCCGGGACCGCTCCGTGTGGTCTGTGTGTCTGTGTCTGGTGTCTGTGTCTGTGTCTGTGTCTGTGTCTGTGTATGGTGTGCTGTGCTGTGTGGTCGTGTGGTCTGTGTGTGTGCTGTGTCTCTGTGTCTGTGTTCTGTGGTCTGTGGTCTGTGGTCTGTGTCTGTGTCTGTGTCTGTGTCTGTGTGTTGTGTGTGTGTGTGTGTGTGTGTGTGTGTGTGTGTGTTGTGTGTGTGTGTGTTGTGTGTGTGTGTGTGTGTGTGTGTGTGTGTGTGTGTGTGTGTCCCCGCTGTGTCGCTAATTGATGTGTTAGTGTATCGCCGCGGGCCCCCCGCGAGGCCGGCCTGGCCTCTGACCTGGGCCGAGAAGAATGACGGGGAGGGGAGGGAGGGCGCCGGGCGTCCCTCGGAAGTGTGCGGTCTGTCGGCCAGCTGGGGGCGCTAATGACCCCAGCGGGAGGCGGCGGAACGCATCGGGCAATCAGCTGTGATGGCGGCCCAGCTGCCGCCGCCGGGCCGCGACCCTGAGGCCTGCTCTTCAGACTAATCAGAGCTGCGGCGCGACACGCACTCTCAACAGTTCACCACAAAGAGTGCATAACGCGGAAAGACTTTGGCATCTTCGCTGGATGCTGCGTCAGAAAATAGGGGGTCAAAGACAAAATACGTGTATCAACAGGCGACGGAAATACGCACTGGCACGGGGCTATGACACCAAGGCGCATCCAGTTCAGCTGACCTGCTTTTTCCACTTCATACGTCTGTTCTGGTACCAGGTCTTGACTTGCATCTGCGTGAGCCCCAGTGACCTGGCCAGCTCTATCCGGTCTGTGGTGCTCAGGTACTTCTGCGCGCTGAATCTACGCTCTAGGCCCACCAGCTGCGCTTCTGAAACAGGTCGCGTAGCAAATGTGTCAGCATTAACCGGCTATAATAAAATGAACAAAACACAAGGCTTCTGGTTTTACTCCTTGTGCATTTTCTGCCGAAAATAAACGACCTCCAATATACAAGTAGCTCTACTGGTTAAATGACGTATCAATCGCCGATTCTCCCTTAACAGCGCATACTGCGGAAAGGCCATTCTAGCTTCACTGGATTCTGAGCGTCTGATATATATATATATATATATATATATATATATATATATATACGAGAACACCCGACATTTCAAGGCCGTATCCAGGTCACGCTCCCTGACCAAGGGCCCCCAACACCACTGCCACTGCCGCTGGTCAATGAGCGAGAGCTAAGCACCGCCTTGCAACGTTGGGTATTCCATGATACATACCGATGACTGCTTGAAACCATCGCTTAACTAGAGCCTCCTGGAATATTAAATGTTGGCTAATTTCAACATGGGAACTATTCAGTCATTTTAACATTACTAACCGTCTTAAAACATTTTCAGCCGTCGCAAGGACACAGTTCTGCGAATCAGCAGCCTTCTTGTGATGGAAAGTCACAGGTTGGAATGTGTTTGTCGACAAACTTGGCTGACAGAAGCGGTTGGGTGGGTTGGAGGCCTGCGACGAGCCTTGTTTCAGTTCATGAGTAGCGCACACACCTTTTAGTAGCGGAGGCTACTAAGAGATGTCGGGAACTGCGACATTAACTGCCCTAGTCCTTTGATACTCGGTAAAATAAATAAATCCCCACTGAGCATTCCATCCGATACACATCGGGTGCGCATATATGCTTACCAAGTGCACAAGGCAGACTCCGTTATCTCTGGCCGCAGCACGGCACGTTCAACTACTCAGAGACGCAGTATCTACGAACACTTTGTCACTTGAGCCTGTGGGCAGAGCGTGACCTCTCACCTGTGACCACGGCGTGACCTCTCACCTGTAATCATGGCGTGACCTCTCCCCTGTAACCACGGCCTGATCTCTCACCTGTGACCATGGTGTGACTATCTCCCCTGTAACCACGGCCCTATCTCTCACCTGTGACCACGGCGTGACCTCTCACCTGTGACCAAGGCGTGACCTCTCGCCCTGTGACCACGGCGTGACCTCTCACCTGTAACACGACCTGATCTCTCGCCTGTGACCACGGCGTGACCTCTCAACCTGTGACCACGGGCGTGAACCTCTCACCTGTGACCACAGCGTGACCTCTCACCTGTGACCACGGCATGACCTCTCACCTGTGACCACGGCGTGACCTCTCACCTGTGATCATGGCGTGACCTCTCACCTGTGATCATGGCGTGACCTCTCACCTGTGACCACGGCGTGACCTCTCCCCTGTAACCACGGCGTGACCTCTCACCTGTGACCACGGCGTGACCTCTCACCTGTGATCATGGCGTGACCTCTCACCTGTGATCATGGCGTGACCTCTCACCTGTGACCACGGCGTGACCTCTCACCTGTGACCACGGCGTGACCTCTCACCTGTGACCACGGCGTGACCTCTCACCTGTGACCACAGCGTGACCTCTCACCTGTGACCACGGCGTGACCTCTCACCTGTGACCACGGCGTGACCTCTCACCTGTGACCACGGCGTGACCTCTCACCTGTGAACACAGCGTGACCTCTCACCTGTAATCATGGCGTGACATTTCACCTGTGGCCACGGCGTGACCTCTCACCTGTGAACACGGCATGACCTCTCACCTGTAATCATGGCGTGGCCTCTCACCTTGGACCTCGACGTGACCTCTCACCTGTGAAGACAGTGCGACTGCGTCGGCACCGGCGGCCAGCGCACAGGTCGGCGTGCTCGTCCTGTCTCGTGCGCAGGTACACAGGTACCGGTACCCCGACGCGGCCCGGGTCAGGCTGCGGTACGGCTAGCGCCAGCGGGCTGCCAGCCACGCCTGTTGGACAGGACGATGCTCAGGAGGCTGGTGATGCACCCTTGAGCCCAAGCTCTTAACCATGTAGCATTCTACAAATTGTGGCACAATGCATTATCAAATGGCCCGTGCCAGACTACACAAATGCTCTACAATGAATGCACGAAAGTAGTTTTTGCCATGCGTAGCATACTAAAGTTCGTCTGTGATACCTAAAGCATACACATCGTCCACCCTCCTAACCATGTGAATCGCTCTTTTCCGTGTTCTCTCAACATCCTCGTCATTCACCTTGAGGATTAACACCAGGATGAACACCGCAAGCAATGTACCACCTTTAACACCATTACCCATCGCATAATCCTGGAATGGTTCATTTAGGCTTACAAGACACCAAACCGGAAGACACAATATAATGAATGATCAAAATAGCCGACCAACTTCACTTCGGAAACATTTTTGTTCCGTCATCTCGTACCAACTTCGGCAATTGCAGAAAGCGCAGATTGATCCCAATGACAGTTTTAGCCCGACAGGATCAAATCAATTAAGTACCGAGACCCGAACTGGACCAATACCTACACGACGATGAAACAAAAACGCAGCCCCAAAAAGCACTTACGGCTATTTTAATCGCCCCGACGACAAACCATGGGTTTTAGATCCATCTTATCCTTTCTGTGTGCGTTTGAGGCTTGATACAAACTTAGGTCCCTGTTATCCCATCTTATCCTTTCATCGATCTTACGATGAAAAGGGATACCATGAGAACCAAATATCAAGTACAAAAACCTCTTTGAAGTGAAAACTATGCTGTTTTACTTCAAGTGGGACGGCGACCTTTATAAGCGATTCAGGGAGGGTGGGTATCTCCACCTCACCCTCTCATTTTTCCTAAATGGTGTGTGCACACTCAACTAAACAAGAATAAAATAAGACATCAAATGACCCCAAGAAACACAACGCCCAGACCCCTATTTCAGCATCTTGCAAACCAAGGACAGACAATTCCTTAGAAGCGTTGGCAAGGAGTAACCCTTCCATAGTGCTGGACTTCAATTCTACATATTGCCAGGTATCTGTGAACCCTCAGGACCCGGAAAGAGCAGCTATTGCAACTCCATTTGGTGCATACTGTCCTTGTCGTATGCCCCTGGGCCTGTCTGCCTCACCGGCCACGTCAGCGCAATTGCTCGATATTGTGCTGACTGATTTATCGCCCCATATACCTCGGAGCTATTTCGATGACGTCATCTCGCATGGACGCACTTTCGATGAGCTTTTGGCCAGCCTAGAGACGGCGTTGGGTCGACTGAATGATGCAGGGCTGGCATTAAATTTGAGCAAATGTGCGAGGTTTCGGCCCAGTGTGACATTCCTGGGTCATGTAGCATCTGAGGATGGCAGCCGGGTTGACCCAGCGAGAGTCGAAAAGGTACGACAGGGTCCGGTATGAAAAACCGCTCAGCAGCCAGCAAGTCTCCTCGGTGCAGCAACACTTTTCACACATTATGCTGATGGCTTCAGTACTCTAGCTGCACTACTATTCCGTTTGACAAACAAAGACGTACGGTTCACCTAAAGCTCTGAGGCACAGATTGCTTTCGGCATGCTAAAAGACGCGTGGTGCGCCGCTCCAATTCGTTTTGAAGCACCTATCAAGTCACGAAGCGTTAGCTGCTTGGTGTGACGGTGTTCGCTCGACATTCTTACGTTTTCTCGACGGGAAAACACGTGACGGTGTTCGCTCGACATTCTTACGTTTTCTCGACGGGAAAACACGTGACGGTGTTCGCTCGACATTCTTACGTTTTCTCGACGGGAAAACACGTGACGGTGTTCGCTCGACATTCTTACGTTTTCTCGACGGGAAAACACGTGACGGTGTTCGCTCGACATTCTTACGTTTTCTCGACGGGAAAACACGTGACGGTGTTCGCTCGACATTTTTAGGTTTTCTCGACGGGAAAACACTTTGCTGCGCAGCGACCATGCTTCCTCACAGCGCCTGAAGCAGTTAAAAAATTTGACGGGTATGTTAGCTTGCTGGTTACAGAAACTGGAACACTACTCATTTGACGTAGCATAGAAGCCTGGAAGAGAGGTTCCTGCTGCCGGTGGGTTAAGCCGACGGCCCTAGTTTACTGCTGATGCGACAACGCAGACGGATGCGGAGAGGTGTTTTCAGCTACTTCACTGCCTTCATTGGTCCTTGCGTTTTACTCGAGCAGAGCAACAGGCTGGCGCTGCCATATCACGGATAGCGCAACATATATTCCAATGGAGCAAGCCACACGAAAATCTGCTGAAGCATGGCGCATCATATTTGTCTCTGGTGGAAATTGCGAATGCCGTGTGGGTGCTGTACCGTGATTGCCGCCGACGGCCATTTGATGATGGTCAGCTACAGGTCGTGGTGCCAGAGCCGCTGATACCTGGAGTGATATCGTCAATGCACAGTGGACTAACGGGAAGCCATTTTGCCCATGATAAGCTGGCTGCACAAATCAAAGTCGGAATGTGACGGTAAAATGTTCGTGTGGGTAAGCTGCTGTGACGGATGCGAGTGCCGTGAAGCTAGGAACCCTGCCATCCCGGCACGGAGGACGTCCCTGGGACAGCTGTCTGTATTTACACCTCAGGTGGTGATGGGCATGGATATTTCGTCAGAGTTACCACGTACAGTTAGTGGCAACAAACACTTGCTAATTCTCGCCGATCATTTTCCGCGCTGCTGTGAGTTTTACCTTTTGTGTGCTTTCACCGCGGCGAGGGTAGTTCCAGTTTTGTTGACGAATTCATCAGCAGGCACGGAGTTCGCTCTAGAATTCACTCGAATCAGAATATTTGTTTACCGGGGATGTCTTGACAAAAAATGAGTTTTGGGCGTTGAAAATTCAAATCAATAGTTGTCGTCCACAATGAAATGGCATCGTTGACTGACTAGATCGCACCACTGTAGCGATACTATCAAAACATCTGGAGTCGGGGCGGCACGAACAGTGGGGCGAACACAGCTGATACTGATGTATAAGTAGTGTTTGGATATAGATCACAAATTCAGCGCTCTCTAGAGTTTTCCCCGCACGAACTGATGTTTGGGCGGTGTGCAAAGCTTCCCGCCGAAACGCATCTAGGCACCTTTAGTAAACTGGTGGAAAGCTATCGCACAATGTTTTGACAATCTACTTGCAGACTCGCAGAAAACGTATGGTTTTGCTCTGAATGCAGCTAGCGCATGTCATGACAAAAACAAACCTATGCATGAAAGGAAGGCAAATCAAGTTATCTATGCCCCAGGGGACAGGGTTTTGTTGCACAGAGCCGTCATGCCACCCGGACAATATAACAGACTGGTCCCACTGCACAAACCCGCGGCTGCTAAGCCGAGGATGGGCGGTAGGAATGATCGGGTGCAATTAAAGGGTTTCTCCTGAAATGTGTGGTCATTTATATGAGCCCTTCGGCTGCAAGAAGACTGATAGCCAGATGTTAAGCGTTGTTTCTTCTGAGGTTGCCAACGTAGGATTAAGTACTGCAAGACGTGGTTCTCACCCCAGTTCGATAGCGGTGAATGCCGAGTGTTTGGTTGGGAGCAGAATTGCCCGTCCGTGGACCAGACGGCGGGCAAGGATTTCGTTTACTTATCTCGGAGTGACGGTGTCCCCAGCGTGCCGTTGGGAACTCCGGTGCGTTCCTCTTGTGTTCCAAGGGTGCCAGTGCCTACACACGGAGATCACGCCGCCGCTGTCGCCCTCTGGATCAGCACGCTCCGTTGTATGTCGCATTACAGTAATTCTCCTATTGCAGATACATTATTTGAATGCCAGGAATACCATGACCGTATGAACTAATATGCCATGTACGAACGTCGCCCTGAGCCCTGTGTTAAGATGCTGCAATACTCTAACCTTACAGTATCCTCGCTGTTGGTTGCGTCAAGTTATAGTTAAACACAGGCGCTAGCAAATCTGGTGCCAGACGGACAGGCAAATGCATTCGATGAGGACTGCGACCAGAAAAGTGCGTTTAGCATCAGCGGCTGGGCATATGTGCGTAAATGCGGTTTGCGACTGCGACGTCGGCTGTTATTTGGGGTTTCACATATCTGAAGTAGATGGTGGGAATTAAGAATCACGGTACTTGATATGATAAGGGAGAAGTAATGATTGAGTGGTTGGTGAATCCCTCACAAATTGTGCGCCCGGCATGGCGGGAAATATCCACCAATTACCTTGCCGAGTTTGTCATGTTGCCATGAAATATGTTTGGATTGTGTAAAAGGGAGATTTCGTGACTTAAATTCGAGTGTCGGGAGTACAGGTAACGACTAATGACTTGACGCATTTTGGACTGAGGCCTATTTGTTCAGCGGCTCTAAGTCTGGGCATGAATTCGTAATGTGCGCGTTAACCCGAAACAGCGCGCACCTGCATATACGCACCCACCGTACAGCTGGTTTTACGCCATTTTTTAAGATTTGATCCGAATCATTTGTATGGATGGAACTCTGGAATCAGAGCTCATACTAAGCAGTGCTTGCGTGAGCCCTGACCCCTACCATCCGATCGCACAATTCCAGGCAGCGGCAGAAATTAGTGTGCGAAAGTTTACGTGCCACAATGCTCGGCACGGTCAGTCCTGCCCTCTGACGTGAACTGATCTTAAGCGCGACCGCTGCCAGCGGTCGCAAGCCATACCCGTCAAGGGCACATAGCGAGCGCTTAAAGCGACTCAGGCCCACCCCGCCACGGGTTGGTGAATCGGAAGGCAGGCACTCTAACCAACTGAGCCACCTGGACGGGGATTTGCTCTGTTTGCTGCGAGCTGACATGAACCCTAGAAAAACTCTCCCAAACATATGTGTCCGTTCGCATATATCGATGCCCATGTATTCACAGATACGTCGCGTTCTCCCTTGTCAGCAGTTGTTAGCTTTGTGTCAGTGCGACGACGGGAGTCAAAATTTAGACCCGGGAATGGCCTGACTTTGATCTACCATAGGTAAGTGACCTTACAAGGTATGTCCAATTTGCTTATGCCAAAAGATTGTCATTTCATTGGGGCTTTACGACGCACTCAGCTGCTGAGGCCATATGGTGTCGCCTGCCTCTCACCCTGGCAGGAAGGGCGGGCACCACGGGGAATTGAACCCCGTACCTCTCGTTTCTCAGACGTGCAGTGCTTAACGCAGACGCGTTACGCGCGTAACGCAGACGCATTAACCACTACACAACCCAAAAGGATTGTCTATTAAGCTGCTTACAGCGATACAAAATCTGTCGCGTCTACGCTGCGTCATTCGGAAGTTATTTAAAAAAGACTTCGGGGGGGGGAGAAATTAACCCCCACCCGAGCGCTTATTATCCAAATGGGAAAAATGAATTCGTAACGATATTGCAATGCAGAAAGAAAAGGCCGTCTGGTCAATCGGCTTGAAAACACATGCTTGACAATGTATGAACACATGTGCGTGCATAATTGCGTTTTCTGGCGTAAAAGGCATGTTTCGTACTGAAAACTGCCTGAGCCTGCAACTGGAGGTTGCAAAAACATTATATTAAAAAAAAACATGACGGCCTAGCGATCTCATGTGAAAACGTCATCATAAATCAAGTAATACTTTCCCACATTGTGACTTTGCACCTAATGAAACATGTGGTTTCTCTTTCTACAATCACAATTTACGGCCTGTGGTTGACGTTTTATTTAGGGGCTGAATCAAGACGGTAGTTTCCGGTTCTAAACGTCCCTGGCAAAAATTGGAGCTTGATGAAATCTGTCATCTAGTATTGACAGGAAATCAGAAGACACTCAGCTTTGTTCCGGGTATTTTAGTTACTTGTTCGTACCAGGAACAAACCTATGTGCCCGATCATATGTAAGGAAAAACTTGGATGCTATCTTTTGGTATGTGATCTCTTCATTTCTTGACGAAATTCGCACTAAGATGCAGTTAGATATCTGACTACACCATTCTCTCTCACAAAATGCTCTTTTTGTGTATAGGTAAACAGGAATAACTCCAAAAATTATTTCGTTTGGGATTGCGCCAATCAACATGTGTATTGCAAGAACGCATCGCGTGGCAACCATGTTCTGTCCATGCAAAATTCCAGCGAATCAATATCTGAATATTGTAATGCTATACAGATGTACATGGGTAGCGATGTTATTGTATGCGTGGCTGCACTGGTGTCAGGACCTTAGTGTTTGCCGCATACCCATGTCGTGTCTTAGGTCATTGATCTTACCACACAGGTCATTCGCTTCGGTGGCCCAGCGGTTATATTGACGGCTTAGCGGCCTGCCGTTCGTAACAAGGGACATTAGTAGCGAGTTTTCCATAGGCACAACAGATCGAGCGTCGCATGGATCGCTCTACAGATACTTGAATATTTCCTTTAGCCTTTACTTTAGGATAAGGTGCTTTGTTCGTCGTGAGCCGTACTCAATATCTTGTCTACATAAACAGCTAGGGTGTTCACTGTTAACTCACTTGTTATCTCGTGATGGGGTTGGATAGATTTGAAAGGCAATGGACAGCGCGAGTTATTTCCTCTCTGCAGTGTCGTGGGAACTTCTGTAACGTGACTGATGACGTCACAGACAGACCTTGCGCTTGGTTTTACCTCCCGACAGTCTTATTCATAAAGACTTCCATTTTGGCAAAACAAAGATTGTGTGCCTCAGCGCGATCTAAGTCAAGCTCCCGTTCCTAAGGGCGGTTCATATCAATCGTGAATTCAATTTGTTTTCTCAGATTTTGATGACGATTAAACCGGTTCAGGTAGAACAGACCCTCATGTGAATGAGGAGAAGGTGAGTGTAAATATATTGTTATCGGAAGCGTGCAAATCAAACAATTTTCAGCCTATCGGAATGCATTTTTTTAGCTTACAAACTATCTTTATCATTGGCAGACCACCATCTTCATGATGCATTTCGTTGAATCGGGAGGTACTACATCTACTTCGACATCATAGGCGAGTAGAACTACGAAGTTATATAGATGGCGTACGCAATGTGCACCAGCGCTTTCCAGTAACACACTGCTCGAATAGCACAATAATGCTGCCGCTGGATGAGGTCGTCACCACCGAATGACTATGGCACCGACACCGGTCCGGCACTCGAAGGCGACAGAGTCAGAACTCAGATTCGTGACATAAGGTCAGAGGCGGCGCAGGCGGCAGACGGGCGTCTAACGAGGAAGCTAAAGTGGGTGTGCCCCACAGTCAGTGAAATCCAGGCGACTAACACCACATGCATGCTTAAAGATCGCAGCAGCTGAGCAATGGCTAACGCACGCTGTTTAACATTCTTAGAAACATTGGCTACTTTCACAAGAGGAGGTATGAATATTTGTTATCTGTGCGCACTTGTAGCCTCAAGCGGCATTGGGCGTGTCATTAATTTCTGGCAGCCTTATCACATGTTTTGAAAAATAGCTTCGTTCGTTTTATGCTAGACGCTAAGATTTGTTCAGCTGCATCCTGTACTCCGGAACATTTCAAAGCTCTGCCATCGGGAAGACACTTAGTTGAGACGCCATTTGATACGGCGCATGGCCTGCAGCTTTGCAGAGCCTTAACCCAAAAAAACCCATTCATGATGTTGCCATCCGAACTCTCTGGAGTTAAATGTTCTGTTCTGCGTGAATGTGTCCGAATAGTCTCGTAATCAAACCAGATCGTCCACTTTGCACCCTGTTTTGATGACTCGTGACATGTAATTTGTAATTAGGCGCGGAAATTGCAAATACGGACGCAGGCAGCAGTTTATAGCTCTAACTGCTTTCACTTATGCCTTTGGGGAATTTAGCCACGAGGGCCCTACTTAAGCACTATAGGGTTTCCTTCTCCTTCAATGGGGAGCCTTTTCAAGCCAAGAATCCCGTCCTGATGCCTCAAGTGTCCGTCTGCGATGCTCAAGAGGCCCTACGGGCGTCTTAAACAGCCAACAAGCACTAGGGCTTTCGGTCTCAGGGGGCTTCGCCACCTCGAGAGTTCAGCTGGGGTGGGGTGGGGGATGACCCCCAAAAGTCCCTTCGCCTTGACTACGTAAATATGTTCAACGCGGACATCGTCGCCCCGGCTCGCAGCCCGGCCAGCTGCTGCCTGCTGCACCCTCCCGAACGATTCGTTGGAGGTGTTTCAAATATGCAACAAACATGGCATGTTGCCGCATCGTCCCAAAACTGAGCTCTCAGAGTTTCTACCCGTGCGTCGCAATTTACAATCCATGGTTTTTCCAACGGTGTGTTTGTGTCCCTTTTCAGTGTGTTCTTCGGTCTTGCTGTACGGGGTTGTTCATTTAAATCACGTTACACATCGGTCAATAGCTGAGATCCGACTTCAAATTATCTGCTATAAAAGCGTGAACTTTTTACACAGATAGCAATTGCATTTTAATCACTTTATCGTTTATCTCCTTCCGTCAGGCTTAAGTTGAATTCCTACCACCATTGCCTCTGCTCTGACCACCGGTCATCGTGAAGCATAAACGGGTAGCTTCTGTGACACGATAAACATCGTACCTAGGTAGCTCTTACACACACTCGTCTTGTTACACAGACATTGAAACGGACAATATAATCGCACTGAACGGATAGCTGCTGGTAAAACGCCTTTTGCGGCGTCTTACTATGCGGAGGCCGTTGTTTTAGAACGATTACCACATGAATTCAGCCGTTTGTCGTTCAGATAAACGGCTGAACGGCTACCACATGAATTCAGCCGTTCAGCGCATGGATTCAGCCGTTTGTCTGCATGATTGTAGGTTTTCTCCTCAGTCAACGTTGATTAAGCTGACATCGCTGCAAACTAGTTATGCTGAATGAGAAGGAAAGGGCCAGACCATTGTTGTGACACTTCAGAAGAGACCGCGACCAGCAGACCCCGCTCTTGTTCGGGGCTGCCTGGCACTGAACCTACCTGAGCTGGCAGCTCGCGCCGGCGAGCCGCAGTCCCGGAGCCGAGACTGCAGCACGCTCTGCCACCGCTCCAGGTACAGGTGCGGCGCGCAGAACAGCGGGGGTGGCCAGCCCAGCGCCGGAACGGCCGGCCGAGCGGCCGCCGGCGCCGGCCACACGGCGTCCTCGGCCGGCGGGGATCGCGCCGCTTCCGCTTCCCCCAGCGCTCCCTCCGCAGCGGAGTCGCCGGTCGGACCGACCTCTCCCAGCGCCCACTGCGTGGCCCGGGCGTCCGGCGGGCGGGCCAGGCAAGGCGCGGCGGCCCAGTCAGCCGGCTCGGGGCTGGCGCGCTCAGCCGCGCTGTCCGGCGTCAGTGCCGCTCCCGGACCCTGCTCGTCGCGGTCGCTCTCGGGGCTTCGACTACGGCTTGAGCGCACTCCGCGCGGCACCAGCTTCTGGCGAGCTCTGCACCCCACTCGCACCCTCGCCCAGGATGTCGCGGATCAGAAATGATTTGCGCGCGCCGCGGTCGCCTCCCTGGCCGTTCATAGCTCGTGCTCGCGGGGCGCGAAGGCCCAGCGGAGAACGCGGCGCCGCCGGCGATGCGTGGGCATCAGCCATGTTCGCGGCACGTGGGTGGTCTGCCGGCAGCGCCGACCAATCAGCGGATGGCTCGTCAGACGCGCGGACCGCAGCAGCGACGACAGCCAAGATGGCGGCCGGACAGGAACCAACTGTCCGTCAGGGAAATTTGTTTGACTTCCGTGAAACGTCGCTGAAAGCCCAAAATGTGTCTCTAATTAGCTTTTGATGCTGCCAGCGAGGAGATAATTGCTCGATGGGATGTTTACTTAGCGGTAAAAACGTGGTTCGACGATGAAGGGGGCTGTGGCTGCACAGCTGGAGGGACCTCCAGCTTTTACAGAAATTCGACACGCCACCTAAGTTGGGAGTCTTCAGAGACGTGCTTCAGATTCATGTAAAAAAGCAGGCATCGCGGAGAAGTTTTGCTTGCTGTTGACGGTGGGAATATGGAATAGTATTTACCAATAATTTTTAAAGGGGATGTTCCACATTTGAAGATAGTGGAGCAATCATATAGGATGAAATAAGCCCCCTCATAACTAGAGGTATACCTTTAAGTGAAAAGACCGCGCTAGACAGAACCAGCCTCTCCAATGAGTAAATATGCTTCTCAGCACGTCATTGCTTGATTGCATCACGTGGCGATTGCGTGCCAACGCAAACTTGCCGTTCTTGAATATCCCGAGAGATGGCAACACGGACTGAAAATGTTTGCTGCGCCAAATAGTGTCATAGGCTTGAGTTTTGGCCCTTTCTCGTGGTGTTCTTGCATATTTACCCGTTGGTATAAAATGCTTGCTTTTACTAGTGCGCTTGGTTATAGTGCCATTCTTAACTTATTCAACCACAAGTTCAATTCCCACAATAACTAGACAGAATATGCAGCTTCTTGCTTTATGCAGCAAAAAGCGATTGGTTGATCGTCACTTGACAGCCGTTATGGGGGCAGGTCGTGCTCACGAACACCATATATGAACGACTCGACGTTAACATTCTTTCTTAATCTCGAACGTCATATGGTCAGGTGGAATGGCCGGACAAAAAAAAATGTGGTGTCATGAATGCCTGAGCATCGTTAAAAAAGTCGGCACGAAGAGGCGTGTAGCTCAGTAGCTAGAGGGTTGTGAGGTTTTAAGAAGAGCAGGGCTGCGAACTGCACTGAGTGATCTTCAGAATGCATGGGCGGATCCTGGGTGGAGGGGGGTCACGGGGCCATGCCCCCCCAAAAAAAACTCTGAGAGTGTGTTTTGGCCCCCGCCCCCGAAACATTCCCAGAACTTCATAAAAGTTTCGTCTACTTACTGTCGGTTTTAACTTTGATGGTGTGGTATCAAACATTTCTTTCCGTTTCAGGAAAAAACTTCATGAAGAAAAGTTGGTAGTGATTTGAATATCAAAACAAAGCGCATGCTGACCCGGCTTAGTCATGCTCGGCTTTTGTTACGAGGTTTGTAAACATGCATAGCTGTATATAGAAGATTCAAAAGCATTTCGGTGCTTGAATGGTGTCCCTAGCTAGGTACTCGCGAGAGGCACCATGCACTGGACCTCGGATCCCACACCAACCAGTTGGCGACGAACAGCTGGTCCTCTCCCCCCCCCCCAAAAAAAACTCCAGGCTAGATCCGCCCCTGTCAGAATGACTATTTTAATTCAAAACCAAATGCACATATGGAACACTCCCTTTTATCCCGATAACCATGTTTGCTACTATATGGCGTGTTTCGTCTAAATGTTCTCAAGAAGCGTTACAACAATAGATTAGATTCGAATGTCATCTGGCACTTCCTCACTTGGAATGGGTTCAGGCAACATGCGAAGATAATACGAAACACGCACGGAAAATATGGTGGTGGTACGCGGGGGCGCAGAAAAGATGCTTCGAGTTGGGAGACGAGCTCCAAAATTCCAAGACGGGCCATAAGAGCTGGTAGTGGGCGCCCTACAAGCCATAATGGGCCCTATACGGGTCAGAATAGGTTCTGCAATTAAGTAATAAGCCCTTTAAAGTCGAAATGTGACCTCTACATGTCAGACTTGGCGCTCTACGAGTGAACCCTCTACGGGCCAAAATGGGCCCTCTACAAGCCGGAATGGCCTCTCCATAGTCAAGAAATGGCTCCTCTACAGGCCAGAATAGTCACTATACAAGCCTGAATGGGGCCCTGTACTCGCCAAAATGGACCTTTCACAGTCGATAATGGACCTTTCACAGGTCAGAATGGGCCATCTGCAGACCAGAACGGGAATTCTGCAGGAAAAAATAAGCCTTCCACAGTTAATGCTGGATCCTTACAGGATAGAATGAACCATCTTCAGGTCACAACGAGGCCTCTACAGACCATAATGAATCCCAAGGCCAGAATTTGCCCTCTGCAAGTCAGAATCATCCGTCCACATTCCTAGATAGGCTGTCTGTACATCACAATGACCTTCTCAGGCCGGACCAGGCCCTCAGAAGTCAAAAGTGGGCCTTCTTCATCCTAGAATGAGCCTTTCCCAGACTCAGAATTGCTCTCTTCTAGTCAGAGTAGAACCCGGATGAGTCGGAATGAGCCCTTATTGGGTCAGAATACACTATTGTGGGCTTATAAAATTTATTTACGGTTCAGAGTGGGCCCTAAACACACCAGGATGGCCCTTTACAGATCCAAGTTGGGGTTGCAGGGGGGGGGGAGGGGGGACATCGTCCCACAACTTTCAAGTTGAGGGTGAGCTGCTCCCACTGCTCCCCCCCCCCCTGGTCTCGCGTCTTTGGTGGTGCGTTTATTACATGCCACCTAAGTAGGTGTTCGTAGATGTTTGTTGACCTTATCAATTCCCAGTGTGATTGACTTGTTAGTCACTTGCATGCTATATAAGCGTTTTTAACGAGCTGTTCCAAAGCCGCTTATAGTGAGCAGCGAGCACAGTCCCACGCTAGGTGGTGTGCCTGTTATACCTTGTCCTGTGGCGGCGTGGTGATCATGTGGATTTTACAAGAGATCTGTCTGCATTCTGCAGACTGCGCACAGTTAACAGTGCAGTTATAGTGAGCACTATGACAGACAGGTGCTTTCTTTAATATACATACAGGGGCTTATCTTTTGATCAGAGATTCGTACTATCACTATTGGGGAAACAAATCGCTAGGAAGGCTCCGAGTGTTTTCCCACTGTAACGACAGGACGATTCAGCTGCTTATGAAGCTTTCGAGAGTTGACACTACAGTGCAATTCAAAGGCTAGTAAAGATTTAATGGCGATTTCTGTTTTTTCGAACCTTTTAGAAAATGCAACGGAGTGAAAGATTGAGTTAACTTTGACGTTCCGTTATATCTCTTTTTAAAATAACGGAGTCAGTGAGTACGTAACGGAAAAAACGACCGATTGTTTTTACCTTCACTGGCAGATTTTAGGACGTGTCTCACAAATTTGTCATTGGGGACTGTGTTCGACACCTGTGATAGGAGATATTTGCTATAATAGGCATGATGGCACAGAAACGGTCCAGAGGCGGGGAACGTCATGAAGCCTCCAACAGCCGGCGTTTCTCACTAATGAAAACCTGGCCTTTCGCTCATCTTTGCCCTTCGACAAATAAGGCTATCCAGCTTCCCAATATTATATGTCCATTTCATTCAACAGTTGTTTCCCTGGAGAGCGGTAAGTCCGCGAGCGGGTGGGCAATTTTGGGTCATTGAAGAGGCATGTGCCTCCACAGGCTAGATGCCAAAATACGACCTGGACAGGGCCGATCAGAATTTCGAGGAGAATCAATGGCCTACAGTGCGCCAGAGTTCCATGCGCCTAGATTTCATTGGCTGCTTTTCAAAAGATAAGATTTCTTGCAGAATTTTAAACGGAAACAAATCTGACATCTTTAGCTGTTAGCTGCCCAAAAACAATGTGACAAAAATCATAGAAGTGAAGACCCTCCTGTAAAAGACCAAGTCACAGAAGGAAGAACCTTCTGTCATATATTCCCCACCTGAGCCCTGCTCCCGTCCCACCGTCGGCGGCCACTGTCCTGGCCCGGCTGTCCTCCGCATGACTCACTGTGAACTAATCGTATGGCTGCTTTGCTGCATATTTATGGGTCAGCGTTGCTACTTATTGGTGTGTAAAACAATGTCTTATCTTTCCTTACAACCGCAACACCCGCAGAAAAAAGCTTTCGGGAGGCTGCCTGCCTTAAGCATGAATTGGTCCAATGGACACTCAATTGCCCCTCATTCAACAAACCCGGCTTGATCTACTTTTGTATATAGGCAGGGGCATAGCTAGAGCCTTGCCAATGGAGACGCAGGTTGGCAAAATTTAGAAACTTTGTCAAATTTTTTTCTGGGTTCTACAGCCATATTAAGGAACTCGTGAGGTAGAATGCAGAAGGTCTTGAGCATGCGCGCTAACAAATCTTAGCAACGAAAGCATCGACGCCAGACGTTGCAGTCTCCGTAGGCCGGGCAGCGTCTGTCCAACGGCTGATGCTGAGCCGCGGCCAACGGATGGGTGAAAATAGCGATGGTTCTGAAAGAAGTAGCCTTTGAACACTACGAATCGACCAGTGATACGAATCATGCGGCGTAGTTTTGAGCATGCACGCTCGCAAATCTTACCAACAAAAATGTCGACGCCAAGCGTTTGCAATCTCCGTAGCCCCCGCAGCGTCGGCCTAGTGGCTAACATTGAGCCGTGGTCTACGGGTGGGCAAAAGTGATGACGCTTCTGAGAGAAGTACCTTTAAACTTTCAGAGCATCAAGTCTTACAATTTAGAAGAGGGTCTCGGCGTATGCTTCACTGTGTGATTTTTAGACTGATGATAAGACCGGATTGGCCCTTACAGTACCGCGAAGTGAGGCTGGAATCTGATGGCGGAACTGGAAAAGTCAAGGCAAAATATTTACTTGTTACTGTAACTGCTAATCGGACAGATTGACCACGGCGCTCGCCACCTGATGCTTCTTGCACTGGCCAATGCCGTT